TATTTTGAAACAATTCGGTAGGATAAAAAGTGTGAAGCAATATGCGCTTGAATTGTTTATCGCTATAATCTCGGGTTTTCTGACATATCGCCTTCTCTAAACCACTTTAAGAATAGATGATAGAATATATTTTGCATACCTATTACTCTAATTTTATTGGCTGCCAATATTGATTACAAATCCCATTTCAGTCATCGTAGAGAAAGTTAGACAACCAAGGAATTGCTAAAACAATATAACCGAGGTTCATTCAACCGAAAATATCTTTAGAACACTCCGATAATAATCAGCCTGATAAAGATGATGTCACGAATTGCAAATTTTAATGATATACTCGCCCCGTGGAGTTCTAATAAAATATTAATTAAAATAAACGATAAGCCTTCCATTAGATATAATTTTGTAGACGCCATTAGGAAACCCGATGCGTTGTTATTAATTGCTCAACTGGTTTATTATATTGACGATTCAAATTTTCTGATAATATTGTAGAAATGACGATTCCTATGAGATCTTCAGAGTCTGGAATGAATTAATTATAATTACAAGTTTACGTAGTTGAAATACGTTGTACAAAAGCAAAGCATGCCCCAGTTCAGCCTTTTCTGCCCTTGTGTTCAATGATATTGAAGGAAAGATAAAATGTTAAGAACCGGTCGTGTGACGTCACTGCGATATTTTCACTGCTTGTAGAAACACAATGTTTACTGTCATTATCTTGTCCCTTTTATATTATAATTTCCATAGTGTTGGATCTATATTATAGCCATCAACTAGTATTTTTGGCATAATAATTCTTGTACAATCTACCAGACGGTGGTTGGTACAAGAACCCACATCAATAAAAAAAAGTAGAAGGGGCAGCCATCTTGAAAACCTTTTTGCTTGATATTAATTAAACTTAACTTCTTTGTTAGCATAGGCGCCAGATCGTCTCATATCTGACCCACACCCATAATGTACGGTATTGAATGAGTGTCTTCGTTCATTCTTAGCTTAACAAAAGCTTAATACGAACACCTACGTCAACATGGGCCTCGATTGCGTCATACGCATCCCAAGAGATAATTATTGTAACATTAGTCACCGTTATAATATCTAGATAGGTATTAATAAATCTGCTTGGAGTGCTTCTAATGTCATAGATTTTTCCACTCTTGCTCAAATTAGATTAGTTTTTCATCATCTGTGAACTTAACAGCTAACTATTTATAATAACCAAGCGGTATACGATTCGTTACACACCGAGATAAACCGAGAAATAAACCGAGAATTACTTTTTAATTCCATTTCTTTTAACAGGGTGCAATCTATACATGAATTAATAACGTTTAAAATACCAAATCAATTAAGATTTACTTTTCGTAAGTTGCTCAATCGATGACCACAAAATTCGTAAACTGAGAAGTGAAAGGTTGCTGGGTTATTGCACATTGTGGTGGCAATGATAGCAGTTTCAGTCGTAATCTTAATCATTAAAAAAGAGTCTGAAAACTAGCTAGAAAACCTTTAAAATCATTAATTTGAAGAACTAATCATTATAACACAAAATCTAAACAATTTATTTTAACGCGTAACACAAACGAGTAGTGGCAGTTGAGCCCCCACAACCGTCGACATGCATTTGCCCTACATACCTATAAATAGTGAGGATACTGCTGTCAGTATTTCGCAGCAACTCGAGCGATGTATTGGAGCAGCGAGTGACTCACACCGACACAATACTGCCACCACTAGTGCATAATAAACAAACTATCTTAGAATCAAACGTATCTATCGCGGGTCGTGTCACGTCTGTCCTATTTTATCGTCGCTCAGACAATCTCCTCGAAATTTAGTTGTTTATTCGTAGGCAGCACATGTAAACATGTTTGTAGATCACACCTACACGTTTACACACAAACTCAACCATAAGTAAATTCACCAGAACTAACCGAAGTTAAGAAATTTATGAATCTTACAACCTTAGTGTTTTCCGTAACCGGCGTGTTTGTCTATGAGCTTGTTATCTTTTATTACAAAATTAAATAAATATTTCAGTACGGTCACGTTTTGTGTTGCGTTTGTCTAACATCGAGTCACGGCCACAAGTCAAATGTTCGTTGAAATTTTGTCAATCCGACTCACAATTCGCCTCTCATGTAGTATAGTATCAACCTACTTGAATTTGTATTAGATACTTCTACGATCTTGAAATAAGTCCTCAGACAGTCGTCGTTTAAAGAACATCTTTGTAGACGTCAAATATTTATATCAAGGCATAATCCGGCTGTTTCCATGTGAAAATTAAGTAGGTTAGCTCATTTCGAGCGACGCGGAGAATTTATTACATAAGCAATGGAGGGAACCATTTACACGATTCTCACTGATGAAATGACTCGATAAAACATGCTAGGTGATTGGAAATCCACTCAAATCTAGACCAATTGCTACTGAATAGGAACGTCAAGTCTAGCCAATGAACCAATTGAATGTTTGGTAACGATACTGTCTACTCGACTGACAATGAAATATGGAAATGACAGTTTCAGAACAGACACAAAGCTTGTTTCCATATCGTATAATGGAACTTGGGGCCTGACTGAAGGCTGGAGGTAGGTAAAACTAAAATGGGATTTGTTATTCGTCAAAATGTAACTTGTCAGGTACAAATGTGCCTCACGTTCAAAAGATTAAAACTACCGCTTCGCCAATATGTTTCATGTTATTCGTGCTTGTAATTTTCTATCTAAGAAATGTATGAACACCAGTCATTTATCTGTTTCAGGCGTCTTTGTCTCAATTACCTTTCTAATGCCTGCCCAAGAGCACCCCGTGACCTTTGTTAAAAAATTGCTTCCACAGACTTCTTGTTCTTCGTTTATTTCTTCCCTCAATAATTTTGCTTATATACTAGACATTTCTGGACATAATACGAAGTTCCCAAGCGTATATTTCTTGAAAATATTTAGCGAGTAACAAAACAAAATGTGGAATTGTAGATGTCTGCCTCGCTGAGCGAAAATGTGAGACGAATTGAATCCATTTACAAAGCGTCTATACAATGCTTTCAAGACTGTATCCAATACGCTTGCTTGCTCGCCTTTGCTTTTATAAAAAACTTTATGTGCCAACTTACCAACTATAACACTAGTTTTCCGCCATTAGAGTTACTGAAACAGTTTTCCTGATAAATTGAAGTTCTATTTGCCTAAATTACAGGCCATTTCGTGAGTTTTTGCTATCAAATGAAACTCATCCATTTTGCCTAAGTCCCTTTAAATAATTTACTTCATTTACTAAACATTTTATAAAGATCTTAAATTAAACTAAAAAGAATGAAACCGAGACTAAATCACATAAAATACAAGCTACATCCAGTAATATTATTTTCTTGTCATGTTACCGCATGACTCAGCTTTTTGTAGGGATTATCAGCGTTCTACTCCGTTGTAAAATACGTAAACATAGACAATGTTAGGCGTAACCTTGTGCTCTAGTTATTGCCACTGACACATGTGAGAGTATAATTAAGTGATAAAATTAATTAATGTATAACTTAATAATAGTATCTACAGCTATCTATGATTTACTATATGCAACACAGATCTTCCGTAATGTACGAGCTTCATTAATATCATGGAGATTATAACTTATCTACTCAACCAAAAAGCCAGTAAATAAAAAAGAAAAAAATGTCACAAGAACTTTACTCTGACATTACATAAATTATGAGTTTATGGAATTAAATAATAAATAAAAATTTATTCGTCACCAGTTTAACAAGAAACGTATTATATTGGTAAGTAGCCTCGCTGCGGCGGGTAACACGTATTTGTTAGCGAATATTATTACCCTAAAACAAACAATATCGAACGCCATGTTAACTTTTTGACAGTTACATTTAGAGCGCAGGTCACAGATTATAAAATACTTTATTACTTTTTTGTTTTAAAAATCGATAGAACCTACTTAAGTAGATACCCTTTTTATGTCGTATCATAGCATAGGCTAATAGTTTGGAAGAAGAAAATTAATTTATCTGAAGGACTGAACGTAAAGATTTGTCACCGTTATTCACGAGTAATGCGGCCCTGACCTTATTAGGGATTTAGGGACCTTTAGGAAATCACTAGTAAGGTCAGAATGTGTCCTAGAGCGTCCCCCCTGCTCAATTAACAATCGCGTTAGCCGTACTGCACGTGTGTCGCTTACGTCGCTTTGTTTTTAATGGTAAAAAATATCAAAGGCGTGTTTGGTAAACACGTGTAGATGTTCCTTCCATAAAAGTTGGCATTTGCCTATGTACTCAGTGCTATTTTAAACCTATTTTTGATATTAAACAGTGTATGACTGCACGGTTGGTGCGGCGGCTGAGTAACCGGCTGCCGCGCAACGTGTGGGTTCGATTCCCGCACGGAGCAACTCTTTGTGTGTTCCTCCACAAATTGTTGTTCCGAGTCTGGGTGTCATGTGTATGTGTACTTGTATGTTTGTAAACGCACCTTCGAAACAGGAGAAAGTTATAATGTGGGACAACGTTTAAAAAACAATTAGACTACCAATAGACATCTTAAGAGAAGTAGGCAGGAATAGGAAACGGTTCCCCATTTTACGAGTATCTACTCTCAAAATTGTACCCAAAGCAGATCAAATAGAATTCAATTTCTAGTTACTGCATATTAAAAAATGGTTTTATTTAAGACTTTAGGGTAAAACACGGAATAACATCGCCACTTTAACACTTACTCCTTGTAAACTGTGGTTCTTAAAACTACGGTCGCCCGCAAATAATATGCTAATATTCCACTGAAAGTTTCAGATTCCGAAAAAGCTTACAGATGTTGGTTCATATTTTTATTTGTATTTACAAATTGTAAGACTCGTAACTAATAACGATATTGTATGACTACTTAGCATAGCAGGGAATATGTTTTCTTTGTTTTATAATCACTACTTACACACAAATGGTTCAGAATTACACAATGGTGACTAACGTGGCGTTTGAGGAAAACTTACCATTAGAATGTTAGGCTGTCAAAATGAATGCCTTTTAAACTCTTTACAGAGCAAATTGAAGGCCGAACATCTTTTATAAATGTTTGGTATTGCAGAGACTTCTTTGTATGCAAGTTTCGTTCAAGTTCAGTTACGAAATATTTTGTTTCTAGCACAGAGAACATAATTGGCCACTTTTTTTGAACTTGGCATTGTAACTGGCTGGTCGGTCGCCGAGGTCGAAGCGTCAACGTTATGTCTTTTAAATTAGCTTCTGAATGTTGGTAGTAAATAGTGTAAACTTTTTTGAAGATGCTATTTAATTTATTATAGTTGACGGCCAAGGCCAGCCAAGGCATTGATTCGTGGTAAGAAAGCAGTTTCATCCTTGATTCATCAAGGTTATTAGACCATAGGTCTAGAACTTTTATTTTATAAAGTAATAAATTTGGTTCTAGTGAGTTCTATGTCCAACCACTGAATCAACCAAAATCAATATGGCCAAAGGTTGACATTAGCAAATAAATCTATTGGGCTAAAAACCTTACGTCACACTGTCGCCTCTTGTGACGCTAAACCATCATTATGCAAAATATCACTGCATAGTTACTCAAACAATATTGTTACGGCTCATGTATGCCACTCAATTCGATTTTGCAATACAATTTAAATTATCTGTGTTCAATTCAACGCTGGCTATAGCAGCGGAAGCATTGACAAATTATGTTCGAGTTCAAAATTTTGCGCATATCCGCTGCTGTAAGTCTGATATCAGAACGATGCAATATAAGTATACAAGCAGATATAATGTAGTACATAGGTACTGTACAAAACATTAGTTTTAGTTCCATAATCACAAAGTGTACAAAGTTTTAAAACAATCTGAACCCAATTTCCTATTTTCGCAAACGTCTCGAACTACGTACCTACAGTCAAATCTGATGCACTCATTTTTAATCATTGTAATTTGATTAAAGTGATTTTTTTCTGTGAATATAATCATGCCGTCTGCTATAAAGTCGTCTGCTAAAACAGTGCAAATAATATTGCAAAGCAATCAGTAATGCATATAACTGCACCACTTCGCGCCATAAAATGCTCAAGGTACCAACATAACGAACTTAGAAAAACCTTGTGTTGGTTTCCTCAGTGAACTGGTTCAGAACAAAGTCTAATGTTGTCCTGAGAATGAGGGCGAGTGGTGCCACCTGTCAGCTTGGCCGTGAAACATGGTCGCGATGCGGAACGCAGCTAAACCATTATGCTAAACACAGTTTGATGAAAATTTAGTTTTTATGGGAATTTGATAGGTACCTAATGGAGATAATTTTCTATGTAAAACATGAAATCTTTTCTTTCACATTTACTCGCAGGAGCATTGATGAATCGCAAAATTACTAACTTTGAATTTCTTTAATAAATTGATGACCATAACGACAATAACAAAACCGCTTAAATTTTGAAGCGGAGCACAACTCAAAGTTAGTTGTCTTATTATTTTCATTTCGAGTTTTATAAGCAAACTGGTTTTTTTGTCCCGAGTTTCTCGTTAATTCCCGTAAATAAAAAGGGTTATGGGAAGCCAAATTCTATAAAACTTGTTCAGCGGAATACCGTCGAAGCGCGTTAAGAATTTATCACTTCGCCAGTATACCCCGCTCGTAAATAATTGGAACATGTTGGAAAATGCTGAAAAATTCAATGTTTTCTGGTTGGCATGGTACAGGCCGTTAGATTGGCAAAGTTATTTATATAATGATTCCATTTGAATCATGTTGAACTATAATAGAACCATCGAGTTTATTTTCAAAGAGCCGTCCAATTCTTATTTTTACAAAGATAATAAAAAGCACCTACTTCGCATCAGGTGTAAAGTGTGTTGCAATAATATACACTAATAACAAAACGATTGTCCCGTCAATTAAATGTAATCGAACTTTTAACAACTGTGCCGTATTTACGATGTGTGTTTGCCGCCATATTTATTAGGTACTATTTATAACAACTCCGGACTTAAAATACCGATATTTATTAACTCCATGTTGTACCGAGCCACCAGCCACCTACCATAGCTAAACGGACGACACGTCTAACATTGTTTTGTTATCTAAAGATACATTTCAAGTTGTTTACTTTAATTTGTGACATTATCATCGTCAAGATTAGATTCAGTGTACCAGTTACTGATAATATTTATGGTTTACTCTATAATTTTTAGTTTATCTGTATACAACTATGACTTATCAAGTTACTAAAATTAATCAAACCTACTTAACTACCTATATTTTGTAGCTAAAAAAGTCATCAAGAAGCAGTAACGTTTCTATAATTACTCTTGCAAACGTTTCTTTATTGTTGAATCCACATTATTTTATTCTGTGACTGAATCACACAATCGCCATTGTACCTAACGAAACTCCTGAAATCCTAGCATTGATTTCCACTGGTCCTAACACAAGCTTGACAGACGAAGACAAATGACTATTACAACAAAGCTATAAATGTAATGTTTCTAAATGCTGACCACATCACATCATATGAAAACTGATTCTGTTGCTTTAATGCCTAATCGGAGAAACAAATCTTGATTACAGTTTAATAGCCATTGTAATGTGCATTATACCAAACAATTATTAAAATTGAAATTACTGGCATCAGTATTCGCGTTCATTATTCGTACCTACTGCGATAGTGCGCTCACCTACATTTTTTCTACCTCGTTACAGATATAAGCAAATAGTTTTTGTGCCCGTGTGTTGTGGGAGATTGAATGAATGTCCATACCTCTGTGTTGTTATACTGTGAGAAACCTGTATGGACGTTCGCTTCTCAGACTATCGGGTAGACGACCGACCTTGAATCTGTAGGGAATCCATAGCGTAGCTGTAAAAGATCCCACCATCTAAAAAACCTACATTTTTTATCTGTTAAACTAACGAATTGATCTTATTTTATCTCCGAGGTAAAAGATAGATGTCTTGTCCCCTATTTAGGTCAGCAAAAAACCTCTTTATGACTGGCCCCAATTCGGCTCGGGACCTACACGGGTTATTTAGTGGAAAGAATAAAAACTAATCAAGGACCTCGGATGGAAATTGAGCTTTATTTGAAAACGTGGCTAGATTTTTTACGTAAATAACTCTTTTTTCACAAAGGGTCAGGCGTTTAAACTTCTAGCAAGAAACATCTATTAAGAATAAAACCGGTTAAGATCCCGATATTCGCTGCCAGTCTGGACTATGTTTTTGTGCATTACGATAAAAAATTAACGTCGTGTCGCATAGAATTGCTTGTAATGATCCAAAATTGTTATAAGTATATAATATTACATACATTGGTAAGATCGATTTGATAATCATGCACAAAACAGAAATTATTTTGTAACCTTTACCTACCATCCCTATTCAGAAATGAATAGAGTATATTTCTCTACAGCCAAAACGTTGTTATTAAGCCACCCAATCAATATTTAATTGAACCAATCGTAAAGATCCAAGACAAATTGTTCCCAATCTAAAACTGCCAGTAATTGATAGAAGTAAAGGATTGTTAAGATTTTCACCAGATTACATTTTATTTGAAACACTTCATTTTGTTTATACAAAAAAATAATTTAAAACATGAGCCCTCCTGACCTACATCAAAACTGGACCTAAGCTTACTGTGAGGGCCTAAAAATATACACCGCGCATTTGAATCCTTCGTTTATGCAAATTATACTTTGACCAGTGATCTTGAGACGATGTATCTTAATATTGTAACTAATTTCAATGTTTACAAGGTTTATTTACTTAACCTAGCTCCTATACTTCATTTTTCTTTCTTTTCTGTAATGCCAGTACCGTCGAATGATTTGATATTTTTGTGTGATGTAAGCTCCGCTTTGTCTGTGGTTTCAATCTATTTTGTTTCACGTTATTTTTATGGTGTTCTTTCTTGTACTTGTTTATTTTAGTACGTTGACCTCCTTTGAGTTTTAAGCGAGGAAGATTGTCATCTTTCGATCTAGTGTGGTTGAAATAATATTATGTTTTAGTATATTTTAAGTCTATTGTCTTGTTTGAAGCTTGTACAACAAAAAATAATTTTAAATGTTTGTCAAATTAGCTTTTTTACGATGACTTTGAAAGCCTGTATTGGATATGTATTTTTATACCTGCTCCAAACCTCTTCTAGGTACTATAATCAACTACGAGGTGCATTAATGGGTGCACAGTGCAGGTTTAGTTCATGACATTGACATTGGAAACCTGTTTGTGAGAATGTGCGAGTAACCTGTGGCATTAGATATACGAATAAATTAATGTATGAAACATTCATACATTTATTGGTCTACTTAATGTGCAGTGAGGTAAAGAGACTTATATTACCTTAATATTTATGTGCATACTTATATATTTACATCGGATGTGGCTAACAGTGTACCTTTATCGTTGTTATACAATAAAGGTTGGAGTATATGGACTTACGTGGCTGACCATTTTATTTAATAGCCACGATAAAGTGTAAGTAAACAAAAACAATGCTTGTGTGGTCCCTAAACGCAGGGTGAGCTTACAGGAGCTATAACGATGAAATGTATAGTTTATATTATTTTTGTGTAAATAAAAATGTATGTAAGATAACTTTGTTTCCTTTAGGGTAAGTGTTGAAAACATTCACATTTTAATTGTGTTGAAAAAAGGTCCGTGTAAAGAAGGGCGTGTAAGAAGGTGCCTACTTATTTGTGAATGTACTAAACCAGGGTTAATGCACGAGTGCGACATCTTGTCAACTTTGTGACACGTTGACATTTGTTTGGAATGTCAAATAGGTCATGTCATAGTCATAACGTCTGTATGATCACAAATGAGTGGACACCACACATTATTCATCTTATGCTCTAACGTAGGTAAGATCCTATTATAGCTGATTAGGTGCCTCAGCGTAAATTAATTTATATTGTACTGTAACATAGTGAGATAAATATGATTATGTAGATTTATTTTTAATATTAAATGTATATACAATATATAGCAGTAGGGATTGGGATCAAGCGGCAGACGACGGTGTAGTTAATGAAGATTGTTTTTGTAGATTAGTCCTAAAGCCTAACAAGCCCCACTTGATGCACTGTCCGAACTGAACTACCGAAGCTGCGCATTGACAGCAATACTCTATTATTGACGGAGCACAAAATCAATGTTAATCTAAGAAAACATTTGTGGGATTCACAGCTAACGTTTGAATCTGTGTTATTCTGGAATTGTTAAACGCTTCGGCCTCGACCGCTTGATCCAAATTCCTATTTTTGATTACTAAACATGTATTTTTGTTAACGAATATAATGCTGCACATATCTATGAGACCGACCTGCAATCAAGTCTTGTGGCTTCCTATGACAACAATGGTTTACTCTTAGCAATTTTATAAAATTTATATCGCAGCACGATGTTTTACGGAGATATACTTCGAATATTATTTGATGATTTATCTTATGAGCGCGTAGTATTCGTGTGATAATTTGAAATCTAGCGCAAAATTCAATTTATTCCTCGTGACAAAACCCACGCGACTTGCGACGTATAAATGGAGAAATAATTGACTCTTCGTTTCTCGTTTGCTACGTTCAATATTGCTTTTCATTTTCCACGGCAAATAAGTATTAAAAAGCTAGAATATAATAACAAACGATACTTCACAAACAGAATTATGAACTGTAGCAAGCAACAATAGAAAAATATATTAAAGTAACGGATAGCGTGTGCTTTGATAGGATCTGAAGCCGCAAGCCGCGCGGAACATGTTGGAAAGTATAAACTAGACTCGAACTTGTACCGCAGCGCTTTCCCGGCAGCCTCGACCTTAGACACACGATACAACCTGATACTGTGACCATACATTATCTGTGTAACCCTGAACTGAGCCAGCAGATATTCTTGCTTCTGGCATTTTCTATGATTTAAAGAACCTTGTCACGCCTTTTTACAATGTACCAGGGTTTTCCATTGTGCCATATACAGAGGCCAGCGCATAGCGTCTCAGGCTTCTATTTCCGAGCCTCGGGTTGCAAAGCGACCGATGGCTACTATGGTTACGCCAATATTGCTTTAAGATCTACCAGATCCACTGTAATGTCTGCTTCGACCTGCGAATATTTTCAGCGACAATATTCTACAGTCTGCCCTACATTGTCCCTGGGCGCCCTTAATGAGCCGTATCGCGTCATTTTACGCCATAACCACGAATTAATGGTAATTTTAAACAAACGAGATTTCCTTCGGACCGGTAAGAGTAAGGACAGATAATGCCATGTTATTTTCAGATATAAATATCTGCAATATTGTTGTAAATATTACCCAACTCTGCTCATATGGTTATCTATAGCAATATTCGTTTTAATATCGTCGATAAAATGTCGTGTGCGGATTAACTTCGACAACTTATTAATTTTAGAATTTTCGTATAATGTATCTTTTTTTGTTTTCAAGAAGAATGCAGTCACTTAACTTGGTCGTGATTTTAGTTTTAGTTTTATTTTCTGCTTATTTTAGTTTTTGTTATTGTTTCGTTTGTTCTGAATGCCAAACTGTAGCAAACCTAGTGTAATTAACTATAAATAATAGAAAGTATTATTATACGTAGCTATCTCAGTATCATAAAAGTGGACTGTATGATATGGTCAATTAACTCCATTGAGGCACAAATATGGGCAACCGATTATGACCATAAGCCATTACCTACTGTGGGTTGGTGTTGACCAAATTACTGGACTAAACATTTTCGCAATAAAAAAGTATTGTATGCCCACCTCTTTTGAATATGTTTCACGTCTGAATATCATAGACAATAAGTTACAAGTGTTAGAGTTAGCATTAAACAAGCCAATCGAGCTAAACAGCTGTTTATAAGCCGTTTAGGGCTGTAAGCGATGCCAGTGTATGTATAATACATGACATTTAGGCGTGTCCTGTGTTATCAACGTGGCTGACACATTTCAACAGGTTATTCAGCGAATTTCAATTAAGTTAAAGTAATAAAATGTGATGTCACACTCGCAGTCCGCATTATATTCGGTGTTGATGTCAATTATTTTTGTCATAAATTTGATTTACGTCCTAAAATAGTAAACTTATGAAATTTATTACACTTTACCTATGGTTTGCATGCTGCATAATATCATTCTCATGCGAGACTTTTGACGTGCCACGAGAGTTTGTCATTCGACAAAACTCTGACGTCATTTTTACGATGTGACGTCGCGTGTTTTCCTTAGTCTAAAGACTATCGGTATTTTTCCTTGAGGACTCAGCACGGTACTAAGCAAAATTTTATTCTGGGAATTTCTGTAGGACCTTTATAATATTAGGTGTTACGTCTACGAACACAGGTGAACAGCGCCGTAAATCGTAATCACGCGATACGGTATCCGGTATGTAGGTACCTACCTAAAGAATTGATTGATTTTGGGTACAAAATATTCTTTATACCTTTTATTATACTTACAATCTTTGGGGTAATAAATTGTTATATTTCATATGATAATAACACATTGTTAGTATTTCTTTTATCGAAATCGATCGATATAATTTACAATATAAATAAAGCTTAACTGATGAGATAGCGACATCACAATCACGTGTCGTAATTACAACGTGATCCTAGACATCTGTGTCAATAGAATTATACCTATTTTATATCGTTATCAAAGTTGTGAGTCTTATCGCAACGCATTGTTTAACCATAAACAACAAACAACTATAACTGCATTATTAGATCGATAAATTAAGAAAAATTAAATATAAATATAACCGACAAATTAAGTAATATAATGGCTATGGCTTGGATTTGTCGACAAACAATATTAAGTTAAACGTGTTAACTTCCACATAAATTATTTCGCAATTCCTACATCCTTCACACGTAATTATTAACTTGATAACCAATTGAATCAATTGTCTATGTCTAACTACTCATTTGACGTATTGATTTGGCGCCTTGACGGCAGTATTGCCAACAAAGCCACACAATCAGACACTTTCCATTGCCTACTTAGCGTTTGCGAATGAGAAAGTTATTTAGGTACCTATGCTTTTTGATTCGAGGAACAGACTGTAAACATTATCTCTACGTATTTTTTTTTAAATCTTAGTTATATATGACATTTATTGAAGTAGAAATAAATTAAATTAGTTCTGTTCAAGCAGTGCTGAGTTCTCAAGCTTCATCTTCTATTACGAGTTGCGAGGGGCGGACAAGTGCTCTTCAGATGAGTCTTGCGAGACGACTCCATACACCGTGCTGACCAATTATATGTATATTTTCTATATCAATGGCCCCTTTTCACAGCTCAATTTCATTTTTATTTTTTTCCATAAATATGTAGGTATTGGGACTATTGGGAAGTCTAATACTTTTTCATTTTATCGATTTTCGACTTTACATTTGCATCCAAAGGGCAAATACCCAATTAGAATAGTTTCGTTTCAAGCAGTTACTTGGGAGTTTATCCGCAATGTCTACCTTACCGAATGGGGCTAGTAGCTTGCTAAGTGGGCACTTAAATCATACTCAATAACTTAATTGTGTTTAATCTGTTCCCTACTGGACTTAGCTGTATTGCACTCAGCGGTTGTCCATTTAGAAAGAATGGAACTTGGCAGCGGCACGCTGGGGAATCAGCGAGAACTTTAGCAATGAAAGTTCAAGGTCGAGCTATTAGATAATTACCCACGTTTCAACTGCAGGTATATAAGTATAAGTACTTAATACGAGTGTATGTATGAAAAAAGATTTTAGGACCAGCAGACCGTTGACCCGCAATTACTGAAGTAGTTTATTATTTGTTTCACCCGTTTATTATGATACAAATAAGGTTAGACACTTTTCCAAGAGTACCTAAGTAGATGTTCTCAACAGATGCATAAAGACTATGACAGTATTGTTTATGAATTCCACGACGTATGTTAAAAAATTAAAGCGAAAGTAATTCCTAGAGTAAATTAATATTGCAACTACCTTTTCGTATTCATGGAGTCATAGACAATAGCGCGGTTGGCAGCGACTACCAATTTCTATTATATATTAGACACGGTTATAAAACATAAAGCCGCCTTTGTGACTACTTGTAGTTACTTCAAATACCTAGTACCAATACCCTATTCACTGGTTATAAAGTTAGGAACGAATCAAGTAAATAGGTCTCCTGAAATATTCGTTTTATTGTGAGCATAAAACTAAGTTGATTCGGTTCGTAAAAGTTTCCACAAGATTACATCGTCACTGGCATCTCTAGAACTTATTACTTTCGGAAAATTACTCTATACTTTAGTTAGTTGGTAAGAGAACAACGCTATATAAAACACATATTTCAGCTAAGACGTAACTGATGAAAATATATTGAAGATCTTCGTAATCTTTATGATTTATATTTACTTTGTATAGATGCCCAATGCCCACTTACCTATCAACATTTAAAAAGATAAAAAAGTGATTATTTTAGTCTGATAATTTGTTAAAAGTACCTAATTTGGTTAATTCGTTTTGGGAAATCATAAAGATGGTCCAGGGGCTTAGGGGCATCTTCTTCGTGGAAATTTCCCGCTGGGAAAAGTTCTCAGAGTTAATTGATTCGTTAATTTGCTTGATACCTACATGTAACTTTACTAGGTAAGACAGGTACGTTGCATTTATGATTATTATGATATGATTATATGATTATGATTCGGTGATTTGGCTTGTTATTCAATGTCGTAACAAGGTAGTGCTTGACAAAACTGTTTCCTAATGTTTTCTCTCTGATAAAACATATTCCTATTTGCCCAACGCAACCCACAGTAAAGGTGACGAAATGATAAAATTGAATAAACAAATATTTTATATACTGTACAATGAAAGCTAAGCATTTCCACTAGAGTGAGATATTTATTTTCCCTAACAATGTATTTAAAATTGTATTTTAATAGAGTAACAGTACAAGTGTTTAATGTTTATGAGTGTTTGATTTTCAGTGAGTTTGTAAAGTGCACAAGGGGAATTTTGCACAGTGATTACGTAGGCCGATATCTGGCAGAGTATGAGAAACCTTTGTCTATTATTACAGGTGTGTAAAAACATTGACGTCTACCTTTATGGTGGATATATTTAAATTTAGAATACCTGAGTAAAAAATGTAAATAAAGTGAATAAGGTAATGTTTCACGATCTTGATGTTGTAATCTTGTATCTGTATCTACTAAGCAATTTAAATTATTACTCTTACGACAACTAATTGTAATTGGCCTTTTAATATTCTATCTTCTGCACAATGGCGTTTTTGTAGTAGTTTTTTTGTCGATTCAGCTTGCGTAATCACTGTGCAAAGAACGTAACTATTATAAAATAAACTAAGAGTCATGTTGCCACAGACGACACTCGTAGTATCGTGGAGGACCGACATGCACCGTAATACCATGCTGTGCTTCTATGTTGAGAACATTAAATAAATCTGATTGTAGTCTTAATCTTGTCACTTTTATTTACACTTCCTTCCAACTAGAAGTTAAGCCTTCTTAATTTATATAAGGCTTAATTTACTGGTACAAATACATACGTATGTATGTACATTATCTAGATTCAACACATCGTTCAAGTTCCTACAATAAATAGCAACAGCCATTAGACTTAGACACTTATTTTAAATCGACAAATAGATAGGAATTGTTGCTTTAATTATTTTTTCAATAAACCTGATGACCTTGTCGTTGTAATCACACACACTATAACACCTAGTCTCGCCGCTGAATACGATGCATAACAATAGTTAGCTACAATCAATAAATAACAATGGATGATAAACGCCTGATAGACGTGGTTCTCCCTCGAGGCAACCATCCAGTCAGTCACTGCAGCGTGCAATTGTAATTGTCATGCAAGAATTGTAGGTGTTGCCTTGTAGTCGGCAGAGAGGCTAAGTACTAATAGGGACCCAGTGCAGTATGTACACACGGCTACACATCGAGCTTTACATAACCAGTATAAACTGAACGTTAAATGTGCGGAAAGATGATGCGACGCGACACCAGGAGAAACTGGTTTTGTATAGATTGATGTGTAGCTGTATAAAGTAGCGTACGGTCAATCGAATGATTCATCATCAACACCACTGCTAGACCATGGGCCCTTCTATAAAAGAGTTTTGTCATAATAGAAAGATATACCAAAGCTATAAAAAAGATTTACCTATCTGGATTTTACGAGGAATCCGATCGTGTCGACTAGTAATGTAGGTATCTAATAGTTATGACATCACGCCTTTTATTCCCTGAAAGGTAACGTAGGTGCTCATTTATGCAATGTAATGTAACATCCACTTTATTATTTTTAAATTTAATTTGGCCTCCGGTAACCTCACTCACACGACGAAAGACACAATCGTTGTTTCACGTCGATTTTCTGCTCGGCCGTGGTATCGCTCCGGTCGAGCCGGCCCATTCGTGCCGAAGCAAGGCTCTCCCACACTTATTATGGGTCCCATAGTAAAATCTATTGTTAGTTTTCGGTAAATGAAATAAAACCAAGTACAATTAAAGAGCAGAAATGTAATTTATAGTGAACACTAAGAAGAAAGGACACAATTTGATATAGGGCAAGATGCAAACATGCAACAATTGCAATAAAGTCTGACTACGTATAATCGGGCGCAGGGAATGATATCAGATCCCGTGCCAGGGTGTCGCAATTTGAACCACTCATCTAATGAGGCTAGGTAAATTAATAAAAAAATCTATAGGTAACAACTAGGTAAGCGAATCGAATGAACAGATTACGTTGGTCTACAATTTTTCCCATCAACATTGTAACTCATTACATAATACAGCAATTAAGATCATAATAGATTCTCTAGTACTCAAACGTATACTTAATCTAGATTTTTGATGTGGGAACCTAGACTGGCAGCTGCAAAGGTGATCGTTAGACTGGTAGGCAGCTATTGTTCTAGTTCATATTGATTTTATTGTTTGCTCAGCACTCGACGCGGCGATAGACATAGAAAGCTCATGGTTTGATAACTAGATAGAATAAGAATAGAATTTCCTTGTGCACTATTATAATAAGTACAGAACTTTATCGAATGGAGGTGTCTATAAGAAATTCTTTGGAAAAAACAGATATTCTCGTCTTGTTTAATAATGTTAAATGATAATAAATTCACATGACGTATCTTTCTTGCACTTGTACAGCTGTTTCTCTGTCTACAAACTTAGTTACTTACCTACCTATAAGTATAGCTGATGATGACACAAAACATTCAGAAATAGTGCGTCTTTGTGTCTATCGCCCACAAGGTGTACAGACGAACGGGGCTGGATGCAATGCAGTTTGTCTCCAACTTACCACCGATCTGGAAGCCATCGGACGAGGCCTATCCGCCTTGTTTAACATAGGAAGGTAGTAGGACGGTAGGCACGTATAGTTACCAACCGGCATCTGACAGTCTCCTAAATAAGTTAATGTAAACACACTCGTTAAAATGTAGTACCTACCGAAATATTTGAATTGTAAACATTACCCAGGTAAAAAATGAACTGAAGATTGCCAGTAGATTCAAAGGTCACACATACTTAACACAAATCAAAAGACTTAATAGGTACTTGCCTTTGAAAAAATATTGACATCAATTTCGCAAGCTAAGCATGATGAATGTATAGATTGAGTCATCATCACTGAATGACTAATTATGAAATCCTTTCTAGTACGTAGTGCGTACCGTAAGTAGCTAGAGAACAAATCGTATCTACCTATAGGTAATTTGTTAGAAGTAATAAAGTATATCTGATCTAAGTGTTAAATGGTTCAAAATCAATAGTAATATCCTTTTGGGTGTAGGTGAATTCATTATTATGTTTTTCGGCCTACTCACGTAATTATTTGACGAGGAACTCGACTAGTTTCAAGCCATGTTAGGGGCTCATATTCATGAGCAGCATTCCGCGACCCGCGACGCTGCGATTGTTGCGCTGCTACTGACATAATAATTGTCTCACTAAATTTATAATATAAAAAATTAGGTGAATTCATTTATACATGTAAGATTATCAAGTACCTACTTTCATTTCACAGATACGAAAATATACCTAAACACCGAGTGTGCCCCAGAAAAATATGTCCAGAAACATCTAGATCGAATGTCACACGAATTGACGCCATACAGGTTGCGGGCAACACGTTTATCAATAAAACCACAATATATAGAGTGGGATCGTTTAATCTGTTAGATAACTATAGCACAATATCAATACCATGATTACGATGGCAGTTAGAACACGCCTAAATATAACAGTTAGTCTATCCATAATTAAAATTAAGTCAAAATAAGTGTTAATACTGTCGAAGTTTGTCCAGGATGGCAGCGCATTGCGTAAAACATCGCTCGGTATGGACCGTGTAGGCGGGGAGGCGTCATAAAACGACGCAAGCCTCCGCTGCCCACGTACGTGACAGAAATTTTACCTAACGCAGCATCCCTAGGACAAAGGGTTAATCTATTGTATAGGAGTAGAATGAGAAAATATTTTACAAAGAACTGTTTAAAGCAAGTACATGGCACTATTAGTAAAGCTGTGGGATTTATAAACAGTAAATTATACAAAATAATACACAACTAAATAAGAAACATTAACAATAATTGTATAGTAATAATAAAATCAAATCAAACTGGGGTCATGGAAACTCATTAAAACTTGTGTAACATGCAAAACAAAACACCAGAATTTTACATGACAACAAACGAATTCAATTCAGTCACAGTTATCTAAGTTATTACATAATTTAATTGTATGCACCCCTCTTAGAACTAAAATTGCAACTGGGATGACCTTGAACTCACCTCTACACGAGGTGAACTATACTACAACTAACCCTTTAGGTATCGTTACTCAATGTTTCTCATCTTCATTTGTAGTTCGAATCGCCTGTTAGTTCTGACCCCCTTTATAATGCTCCTGTTTTCATTTCTTTTCACGCTGCATTTCTCTGTGAAGGATTTCTCCCTCATGACGGTTTGCTTAGCTGCCTCGCGGCGTACTGAGGTGGCGCCGGCTAAAGATGGCAACGTCGGCTTTGGAATACCCCCATTAGGTCTCTCAATAACCTTTTCCTTGGGTTTTTCTGTCTTGCTCGGTATACTAAATGGATTCACGTCCAAGTTCAGTTTGAACCCGAATCTGGTGAACCCTGGTCGTAAGGATTCCAGAGTGGGCAGTTTCTTGGTGGGGGTGTCAGTTTTCTTGGTAGGGGTGTCCGTTTTCTCTTTGGGTTTCACGGCATCCTTACCTTTCGGTGAATCTACGTTATCTGTGGAATAAAAATAAATATTTAGAGTTAAATTGTTGTAATTAATGGTTACTATGACGTAATAAGTCCTATTAGTACTACACTGAAGGGAATCGAAATAAACCGTGGTCTGTGGTCAACCAACTATCTTAACACGTCACTTTGTTACCTTTTTTGTGCAAAATATTTAGATTACAAATACTGGATCAGCATCTATTTTCCAGCATTATGATTACTATGACCTATGTTCTGATTGGTTTGAACAGCTATGTGGGAGCGAGGAGCATCCGGCTTTGTGTCCTAGCCCCCCTCCCCCTTAGCTGCAACTATTCTCACACGCGCGATGCTAATATCGGCACAGCAATGCACCGGGACGATCCGATTACTTGGGTAATTTAGTCCCGATGTAAGTGGCTACGTGCACTGTACAATGCATTGTTGTACTCGGTGGCAGTTGTTCTGAGTATAATATTGCAATTGCAATCTGAGTATTACTAAACGGACCATAGTTAAGTTTAATAGTTAAGTAGTTCATCGTTAAGTACGCCTTTTTCCTTTTCTTTACGGTTAGTTTGCCAGTGCAGGCTTTTTTTAAGGGGGGACAATCATCGAATGACTGCTCCCGCCTGGGTAAGGCGGTAGGGAGTGTTAGACTCTTACTGACTAAAAACCACCCTGTTTCTTCTCCTGCGTTTCGAGCCGGAGCCCCGGTAACCCATTAGGTTAGGTATAAATACAATTACAGTATTATAGGTAAAAATAGAAATCCCAGATGGCAAAAACTGAAGTAAATACATAAGCTATGAGTATTTAAATCATATTATGTGTATAATAATCGATAAATATCTATATTGAGAAAATGATGATGACTAACGTCGGCCATATCGTCGATAACTGCTATCAGATTATACATTTTGTTCGGGATAGTATCTGAACTAAATATAGACATTTCGTGCTAATAATCCTGTCCTAGAATATACCTGACATGACCTTTTAGTAGTAATCCGTTATTCTAACTGCCTTAACTTCGATAGAGACAAATGACATTAGGATAAGAACATTGGTATTATCCGAAAGGGTAAATAGAGACGCGCTAACAATACACAGTTTCGTTAGTATGTTACCAAGTGCAGATTTTTCAATGATCAGTTAATTTTGAACTGTAAACTAAAATTGACAACTGACAGTTTTAGTATGGGGAAAGGATTATCAAAGTTCTTCCTCAGTTAAAATTTATCTGGCGTTAGAAAAAACGGCCCTAATAAAAGCAGAACTTATTTTACGATATGTACTTGTATAATTATTAAAATAAATAATTTAAAAACATTCTCAGTAGTAGCACGGAGTCTAGAATTGATTGTGCCCGGTATAATATGGCAATAGGCTCGCCCCCTATTACATGGGACTCATAACATAAATAGTGAAAAGTGGTTGTTACATTGTACAGTGGTATAATGTGCACCTCTGCCTACCCCTTCGGGGATAAAAGGCGTGATGTTATGTTAAGTAATGTTATGTTATGTACAATGTACATACTTGTATTTTTCTTAAATCTGTAGACCCGAGACTCAATGGTTTTTGAAATTCGGTACACAGAGTCAGTCACAGAGTCAGTTATAAAGCGCTATATACGCTAACTTGCTACTTATTGCATAAATGTAATAACAACGAAATGTTCTTTCGAGTAATAAGGTACATGACATGGTTTTACATAAATTATTCCTATGTCAAAGCATGATATTCAGAGTTATTTCTGCCAATATTACACAGGAAACAAATACAATTATTACAAATGGAGTACCTACCTGCGCAGAGATAAATATTATTAGTTGCGCACTATAGCTTTCAGAATTTTCCGAAATACATAAAATGGTAAAGTATTGTATGAAAATATTGATTGTATCTGTGACTGTATGAAATTATCTTTCCGCTGACTGACTGTGATGATTGCTGTCATATCGGTGATTAGTTCAGTATAGGGCGTTGAACCAACATAACATCACATCATCACACCTTTTAACCAAACGCATAGGAATTCTTAAGTTACCTTATTGTAGGTAAGGCCTTTGAAGGGGAGCTATGTCCATAAATTGGACGTATTTCCAAGGAGCTATTTCCAAAAATGGTTGCTCCACACTAGGATTTTCTCCTGTGTCATGGGTGCGTTTACAAACATACATATGACACCCAGACCCGAAACAATTTGTGGATCACATAAATAGTTGATCCGTGCGGGAGCCGAACTCGCTACACATTGCGCGGCAGCCTGGTGCCCAGCCACCGCGACAACCGTGCTTTAAATAGGACCTACGGAATAGGTGACTAAATATGTTGACGTCTGATTTCAGAAAGAATATAGTAGGTACCTAATTTGGAGCGGGGTCAACGTCTTCCATAGTTGACCTAACACCTACAGGCAATACAATACAATTCGGCAGTGAGTGGCTCGGCTATACATACATTGGAAGCAATATGGATATATGGACGTCTTCTCTGAACGAGGTTCTGCAGATTAATTATAGTCTTTAATAGTAAATAGTTGTCTCCATCATTTGATGACATCACGTTGTTTGATTGCACAAAGTCACGGTCAACCCTTTTTTTTAAGGGGGGAAAATCATCGAATGACTGCTCCCGCCTGGGTGAGGCGGAAGGGAGTGTTAGACTCTTACTGACTAAAAACCACCCCGTTCCTTCTCCTGCACGTCGAGCCGGTTACCCGTTAGGTTCTCCGCGACGCGGTCAACCCTTTGAGTACCGTCATTATAGGCACAATAAAAGAACAATAGGTTGTGGTCACCGGTGTCCTCGCGGTGTTTGACAGTTTAAATGCGAAAGTTTATACGTTTGTGTGTTCCTCCTTCACGTCAAAACCGGAGCTAGCTAGCTAGTAGCTAATAAGTAACAGTCAATAACAAAAGTTCAAAGTTACATATTTCAAAGTTGCATAAGTTTTGCTTACGATTGGGAGGCAGCGGTTAATTAATCAACTTCGCCGGAAGTTGAAACACGCGACATCCGTATTAGCAAGGAGCTGGGGGAGGTATTACAAGTGGGTGACGTCATCACTTTCTTGCACATCATTTCAACTAAGTACTTTATATTTTGGCCGGGATATTTGCAAGCAGACTTCTCCGAATTCACCGATACGATCATAGGCCTTAGTAAATTATTAACTTAGTAAATTTGTTTTATGTTTAAAGTAATCGGACGAAATGAGACCGCGTTCTCATTGGTTGGTTCCTTGGAGCCGGCCAATCAGAGCTCTGAACGCTTACTCGTTTACATTACTTTACACGTAAAGCAAACTCTTACCTTTTTATATGGGGGAAAAAATCATCGAATGACTGCTCCCGCCTGGGTGAGGCGGGAGGGAGTGTCAGACTCTTACTGACTAAAAACCACCCCGTTCCCTCTCCTGCACGTCGAGCCGGAGCCCCGGTAACCCGTTAGGTTCTCCGCGACAAACTCGTACCTTAGTACGAGTAATACCAGCCAGAATTTACTGACTAAGAATGTCTGATCACTATGGGTGATCAGGGAAAACATTGCTCCTAAGCCACGACCTCAAAAAGCTAAAATTGTATGAAAATCTAGCAATGTTTATTACCCATGTTGTTATTCCATATAGCACGTAATGTCTGGTACATTACAGGAAAAAGTAAAGACAATAATTACCTAATTTAAATATTAACTGTTAAACATACCTACTACTATACTAGCATGCTAAACTAAACTTAAATGACAGCCTTATAAGATCCAATTTCTATTGTTAAGTATAATATCTAAATACTAATCAGGGATGTTAGGTACGGAGCTCCGTAACCGTAACCGAAACTATCGGATATACGATATAAAAGAATATCCGTAACCGTAACCGAATCCGAAATAAAAGTTTCGGATACTATCGGATAGCGGCGTGACGTATAAACGAAACAATTATATTAGCTATTTGTATTTTACTTTTGAAATTCCTTAAAATTTTAATATCCGTAACCGAAATTATTCAAAACTAACGGATAATCCGAAATAATTTCATATCCGTATCCGTAACCGTATCCAGTATAATAATCATTTCTATATCCGTATCCAATCCGTATCCGAAATTTTATATCCATAACATCCCTGATACTAATAGATAAAGAAAGAACTAGAGAGATGAGTCAAAACAATTTCATTGAAATTAATTAAAAGTTTTGATAAAACAAATATGTTGTGTTTTCCTTCCAGAATACGTGGACTTGGCTGGAGATATGTAACACGTGTTGTGTACACTGTGGAGATAAGATAGCACCTCTAATAGGACGACTATCGACTGCATCGATGACGCACCGATGGCTAATCGATATCGATAATTCTGACTACGGATTATCGAGCTGGATAACGAGTTATTGTTTTATAGCTCTACACTACGCCAGTAATTCTATGTGTTTGCATATTTATAATATTTAATTTCAGTGTGGCCTGTCTACTGAGAATACATGATACACGATGAGAGTCATACCAATATACTAAACCCCATTGAAGCAGGCAGGAAGTGTACTTCATGCAAAAACATTTCATTAGATACGTTAAATACCCACTATAATAAGGCATTATTCGAGTTTTAAGGGGCAATTCCTGACTACTCGGTGTTATTAACACATTAACTGTCAAGTATAAACGGTAAAAGTCAAACCACTAGCGTCAGGCAACAGTGACTGACGTGGCGCTCTAGGGGTTAATGAGATCGAAATCGAAACTGTTTGCAAATGCACTTATGGTCACTCAACCAATCTTATACTATTATATAAAGCGGAAGAGTTTGTTTTTTTGTTTGTTTGTTTGAACGCGCTAATCTCCGTAACTACAAGTCTGATTTGAATAATAATTTTTGTGTTGGATAGCGCATTTATCGTCGATGGCTATAGGCTATAAAACATCACGCTACGACCAATAGGAGCTGAGCAGAGCGTGTGAAACAGCGCGGAAGTAGCTAGTGTAGTATAAATTTAGACCAAGATGCTATGCTTACTCTTAGGGCTGATTCTCTCCAGCAGTCCAGCTGGAGCAGTTGGAGTGAGCAGTTGTCTAGCTCTCTTAGCGCGGCGCTCCTGGCACTCGTTCAGCGACTCCATCTTGTCGAACTGCTTCTGATGCAGGGCTGCGAAGTTCGGCAGCTTGGTGCGCGATACCTTGGCATCAGACTTCGGCTTTGAAGGAGTTACAGCTTTCTTTGGAGTGGTACTCGTTAGTTTTGCTGTAGACAAATATTACGTGATTAGTATCCTTACTTCCTTACTATATATATAATATTATAAATCAGAAAGTGAGTTTGTTTGTTCCGATTTCACGCCGTAACTACTAAACCGATTGCTTTGAATTTTTGCAGACGTAAAGTTAGAAGTCTGGATTGAATAATAGGGTACTTTTTATCTCGAAAAAATTTGATATTCCCGAGGGAAAACAAAAGTATTGGTATAGATGGCGCTGTATGTATTGGTATATGTCACATAGGCTACTTTTTATCCTTTTGTGACGCGAGCGAAGCCGCGGGTAAAAGCTAGTAATAAATAAATCATAGGTTCAATGAAACGTTGAGAATTCTTCAAATTGGAATCCCGAATCATATCTTGCTTATCTAGTCTGCTTAAGTTAGGAGAGTGCTATCCACACTAATCCATAAGAAAGGAATGACTACTTAAACCTTTTCTTTTTTACCGCGACGGTGGCAATAAAAGCACACGGCCCACCTGATGGTAATTGGTTACAGTCTTGTCTGAAACGGTGGGAAACATAAGTCAAATCTTGTCATACCATGATTTTACACTTCCTAATATTATTGCCTCGTTGGCCGAATGATCGCAAGTGCGACTGCCGGGCAAGGGGTCTTGGGTTCGATTCCCGGGTCGGGCAAAGTATTACTGGGTTTTTAAAAATTCTCAGTAGTAGCACGGAGTCTAGAATAGGGAGAGACCCCCTATTACATGGGACTCTAATATAAATAGTGAAAAGTGGTTATTACATTGTACAGTTGCATAATGTGCACCTCTGCCTACCCTTTCGGGGATAAAAGGCTGATGTTATGTTATATAATAGTATTGAGAATTAAGTTGAAAACCTAATCTCCAATCTCTCGAACCCTAAACCTTGTTCGGCAGTCATCTTGCATCGAGGCATCAAATGAAGCATATCCCCTGTCGGTAAGTCGGTACTTAATTCAAAGTTTTTCAGCCATAAACGTAGAAATATTGTTGTAACAATAAAAGTGTAATTACAATATTAGTACTAAGTGTTATCAGTAGGTGCTAAGTAGCGGAGGTAGCGTGATAAGCGACGACGTAGCTGTGATACGCTCGCTATCTGATGTGACTAATTCAACGTTGCACGCCTGTGTACCACGTAATGTAACATGCTAAATAAATAAAACACTTATATTTACACATGACGTGACTTTTTAACATATTGGTTTACCATTTTCCATTATTTGCACGTGTAGGCTTTTATGGGATAGAACAGTTCACCTGTAAGTAATACTCAGCAAGGCAGATGAATTACAAATGCGTTGCTGATATTTGGGGGATTTGAGCCCCACATATAAAGGTAGGTACCTAAGTTACTTAGAGACGAGCTTTTTGCCGTACATTGACCGGGTATTAGATCCCGTGTTATTAACTGAGAATCAATGAGTCTTTGTCTTAAGTCTTTGCAAAGCAATCGAGATGAACAAAGCAACAATTAATGATTAACTTCTTGAATACCTACGTCTGATTCAAGATTAAGATCATATTGAAGGGAATTAGAAAATTAATGTTACGGTGTCCTTGGGACTTCTGACACTGCAATTCTCAACTATTTCGTTTGTACTTTTTAAACTATTACGTGTGCCTTTTTGATTAGTAGAACTGCAGTGCGCACTCCTCCCTAGCTCTACGGGGATATCAAGGTGTGAGATATGTATGTCACCTTAATCAGACGATCGAAGTTAAGACACCGTTCTCGATTTACAAATCTCAATGTATTATATAGCAATACACTCCACAATGCGTCTTGCTCTCCTTATAAATGTAGGCGCTTATCTGACAGACGTAGACGCGAACAATTCTTGTATTGTTATGCAAATGTTCAAGAAATTGTAGGAGATATTATATCCGTGATATAATGCTCTGCTTTATCATGCTTATGTGTGCTTCAGTTAAAGCTGAAATATCTCTGAACAGTTTGACTGATACATGTCCAAATGTCCATATTGTAACATAACTTTACCCTAAATATAAGTTCTAAAGCCTATGTAATAACGGGACGAACCTTACTATAACACATTGAGCACAAATCCAGACTGCAGTATTGCTGAAAACATTGACTATCAGAGAAACCCAATAATACATAATGTACAATAACCCAAGATTTGTAATGCAGCAGTCGAATGGAGCCTGCTCCTTAATTTTATATTTTTAGCATAAGAAAACTGTAAATTTATAATAAGGAATGTAGTAGGTACCTGTAGCGCTAGCAGTCCTGGGCCTGGACAGCCGGTCCACCGACTGCTGCAGATCCTCAGTGAGGCGCGAGCGCTTCACTCGCGAGTCGTCTGCGTCGTTCTGAGTGTACGACCGCTTGCGACCCACGCGGGATGTCGGTGCTGGAACTATGACGTTCTCATTAATCTAAGTATTCACTATTATGAGTTGAGTTAAAAGTTAAATAACACACTGTGTGCCTCAACTTACCACTCTCTTCATACACAAAGCTCTTGTTGGATCCCTTCAGATTAGACTTTATAATCTTCTTCCTCTCCTGGGCAACCAGCACAGGATTGTCCACAGGACTGCAGAACATGACTCTGGTCAGCCTTGGAGCTGGCTCTACAGAAGCACGGACACCCTTCTCAATGGACCGAGTCACATTCAACATGTTCTTTTTCTGGTTACTCTTAGTTACATGATATGGCGTGCAACCCGCTGCTGGTATTATTGATGACCTTCGTTTAGTTGGAGTATTTGTCTCAGCGTCTTGTTTCTGAGGACTCTCTTTGGTGAATGTTCCCTCTCTTTTCAATGGAGTTTTTGGTTTTGGACTTTCTACCTTAGTCATTGAGTGGTGGGACTCATCAATGCTGCTCTCTATCAACAATGGAGTGGTGTTCACAATGTTCTCCATGTGTTCTGATTCATCACTGGTTATACTGATGCGAGATATCTCCGACTTGTCTACAACACTGCTGTTGTCTGAGCTTATTAGGGAAGACTTGGGTTCACAGTTACTATTCACATTGCCAACCTCAGCATCATCCTTCTCAAATGTAGTGTTCAGTTGTGTCTGGATGTCCATAGATTTGGTTCTCCTTGGTGATTTCCTTTTCAATGGACTTTCTGTATTTGATGTCTTCTCATAAGTTGTATTGATAGCATTCACTGTGAAGCTGTTATTTTTATCAAAAGTGTGTCTCCTGATGGAGGTCCTCTTGGTAGCAGAACTGCTTATGATGTTGTCTTTACTAAAATCTTCCTTTGTGAAACTAATTTTGGAGATGTTACTTTTGTCAAAAGTGCTATCCTTGATACTAGATTTCCTGGTAATTACACCTATTTTAAAAGCATCAAAAGAAGTAGAAGTGTCTTTGTCAAATGTTGTGTCAATAGGTTTATCGTAAGTTGTGTTAACATTTATTTTAATTTCCTTTTTCTGAGCTGATGTTATGTTTTCCTTTTCATATGTGGTATCTAACTGTTTTTCTCCTTTGTCAAAGGTATAATTTGTAATGTTGTCACTTATCTTGTCTGAATCTTTTTCAAAAGTTGTATCTTTAATATTAGATTGCCTTCGTAACTGTTTACTTGCAATGTTAGATACATTCACATCATCAGCTGTATCTTTCTCAGTCTTACTACTGTTTACTAAGAAGGCATTGCTAGCAGATTCCTTTCGAAGAGATTTCCTCGACTGCAATTGTTTGTTAGAAGTATTCAAATATGTTTCCATGTCCGTATCTCCTTGTGTAACTGAATTTGTACTTTTATCAAATGATCTGTCTTTTAGAATGGATCTTCTGGATCTGTGGTGGCTGTTGGAAATATCAGAAACATTTAAATTAGTCTCCCGATTTGTATCAACTACATCCTTAATGAGTGATTTGTTATTCTCAAGGTCTATTTTATCCAATTCATCACTTCCCATGCCATCATTGGTGGTATTTTTTTTTTTACTTTTGATTTATTTTTCTTTGATTGAGTACGAGAATTATTTCCTGCATCGTTTTTACTGTCTGCAGTGCTTGAAATGTTACTCTCATCTGATGTAATAATAGAATTTCGTGTCTTCATCTGTCCATTATTTAAAATTGAACTATCCTCATTATCTCTTTCTGAATTTGCCGTGAAGATGAAATGGTTCGCTTCCTGAATGTCCTTAGGTCCAGACTTTCTTTTTTTATTATCTTTGTCAATTGTGTTGTTAATATTGTCACCAATTATGTGCTTTGATATGTTCTCTGATATATCACTATGGTCAGTGACGTTATTACTGCGTTTTTTATTTTTTTTAGAAGACTTCTTACTTGTTTGTTCCTTTTCAAATGTGTTGTTAATTTTGTTTGAGAGTGCTGGTTCTATATTGTTATGTTCTGTGTTAGGGCTGCCAGCAGCACTGTGAAATGAGTCCACAGACATATTACTCCCATTGTGAGTATTATTCTTAGCGCTTTCATGTTGTGGCACATCCTCAGCAGTCATAGAATTCGTTTTCTTTCCTTTTTTCTTCTTCTTCTTTGATTTCTTTGAAGGTGCTTCTTCAGGAAGTGGATTTACATCACTTTCTTTCTTTTTCTTCTTATTTTTCTTTGATTTTGGTACGTCAATAATTTCAGTTGGCACATTTTCATGATTTTCAGTTTCCTCAGTATCATCCAACTTTTTGCCGCGTCGTGATTTTCTAATAAGATTTTTCCCTTCTGTTTGTGGCTCAGGGACGAAATTTTCTACTGAGTTTTGTTCTTTCAAAGTATTTTTACGTAACACACGGCTAGTTTTAGCATCATCTTCTTTACTTGTTGTGTCTCCGAGTAACTCGTCGTCAGTAGGATAACTCACGTAATTGTTTCGTTTTTTGTTTTTAATTAATGAAACACCTGTTTCTTCCGTCTCATCTTTAACTTGTCTGCTTCGAGTCTTTCTTTCACTCTTTACAGCAGGTTCACGTTTCGTTACGACTGTGTCTTCAAGCAACGAAGTATGAATCCCTGTAATTCACAAATATTTATTAAGGTTTTAGCCTATTTACACACAATAACTAATCACCTTTTACACAATTATCACAACTTACGTTTTCCGGATCTGGTAGACATATTTTAGACAATTATTTCGTTTCAATAAAGTATTTTCAATATTTATGCTCACTGTTTACAGTAAATACATTTCACATTCAACCGTTTAACGTTTACAAATTTTCAAACTGCCAAACAAGGTAGAGTCCAGCAACGAAAAGTTTGACGTCTAAATTATTTTTAAATTAATATAATTTTAGTTTTCTATTATTTTAAATTTTCCATTAGTTTTAGTTTGTTTTAAGTTGCACATATTTATCTATATCCTTCTTTTTATATTCCCTGTCTATAAGTAGTAATAAAACAACTAAATAAACACAACAGTAATTAATATTCACAATATGATTTTATTAAAAAAAAATCAAATATTAAAGGCAAATTAACACTGATATGATAGAATTAATCATAAATTGCTTTATTTTATTTTATCGATTTCTTCTAGATCCTACTGGATCCGAAATTTATAATACTTTTTTAATATTTCAGTTTCGCAACTGGACCTCCAGATAATAAAACAGATGTGTTTTGTCACTTCAAAATATAATTATCATCTTTACAAAAAACAGTCGTGAAAACAAGCGTGATAAGTAATTTAGTTATATTTTTTATTTATTGCTTCTTTCGGATATATCGATTATTATGCCCGCAAAATAATAATTTGATCTATAGTAACACTCTCAGTTGCTGCTAGGCCTAGCTAGACTGTCAAAACTGTCAAAATAGTAACGAATGGTAACGAACAAACTTATCGCGCCGCGGAGCTGTGTACAATTTTTTCACATGTTTACTGTACTTAAAACTTAACGTTTAAAATGATGTACGTCATGCTTTATAAATACTCTTCACTGGTGATTTTCCAACTCCAAAAACGGGTGTGAGGACCGATTTCGTATTGGGCGTAAACAAAACGTCAAGTAGTTTCACTGTATGAGTCAATTACACATAAGAACACAATGGGGAGACAGTATTACATATTTGTGTTATTGTTGTTGTGTACGTGGGCTTGCAGCGGCGACCGTGGGGACTACATCGGCTGCTACAAGTTGATGGTTGAAAATGTCCTCAACACTCATACTGGACAGTCTGTGGATGTCTGCTTGTCGGCGTGTGAGCAAGTATACTACAAATACGCAATCATAGGTAATGAATCGACGTGTTTCTGTGGGAATGAGCCGGGTAAATTTCAACTACCACTTGAGTCTTGTCCTACTCGATGTCCTAAAAATGACACTCAGTTTTGTGGCGGGGAAAATGCCGCTAGTGTGTACGATACCGAGGTGTTCTCTCCTGGGCCTCCGGCATCAATCAATATTACTAACGTTACTGAAACTACGCTGAGGGTCCGCTGGACAGCCCCAGATGCCTTCTCATCCATTTCTGGTTACATTATAAGAGCTATAGTTGTTGAGACCTATGCTGACTTTGCCCTTATAGATCTTGAATGGAGAGTATCTAATAAAACCTTTTACACTGAACTATTGAACTTGCAACCCGGCTCCAAGTATCAAATAGGAGTGGTGGCAGTCAATGATGGCTTTGAAGGCCCCAACATCACAACCACAGTAGAAACTGTGATTGGAACTCCAGATCCCAGCCCGCCCGACATAGAAATCATAGAAAGGAAAGGAGATAGAATGGTGGTACACATCCCTGAAGCTAAGAATGTAAATGGCCCTGTGTCTATGTATAGGATCATAGTCTCAATAGAGTTGTATCAACAAGGATTCATTGTTGAAAACCTAGGCAATTACACATATGCCAGTGACCAAGGGCTCCCTTACTACATTACAGCAGAGCTGGACCCTGATGATATTCAACATGATTTTATCATCGGAGACAGACACACATACAATGGATTCTACAATGCTCCTCTACCACTGACCAATGATATAGATGTGTCTTTAGGTGTTGTAAGTGAAAAAGATTTTGTGAAAAGAATTAGATATGCAGAATCAACTAAAAAAATTATATTAAATATCAATGAACCAGAGGAAACTTCTCCATTGGTAATAGCACTTGGGGCTGCCATTGCTATCAGTGTGGTTCTACTTCTAATCGGAGTAGGGCTGCTCATAATTTTGCGTAAGAGAATACAGCTAGTAAGATCTCAGAGAGGCTCCCAGTCAATGCCATTAAGTCTTAGTGAACCATGCATGGAGATAGAGAATTCAGGTTTTATAGAAGAAGAACATGAAAGAGTTGATTATTACAGCAACTTAAAAAGAAAACTGTGGAACATACCCAGAAACCTTATAGACATTGATATTTCTTGCATTGTTGGTGTTGGCAGCTATGGCAAATTTACCAGAGGAAAAGTGCAACAACATGGGGCACAGACTCTTGGCCTAGTGCAAGTGGTAGCTGACAGGGAGCTGGAGAGACCAGACAAGAAACTAATGCTGCAAGAACTGGACCAACTCATCAAATCCAGTGAACATGAAAATGTGATCTCACTCATAGGGTTCTGTGAAACTAACACAACATTATTTGTAGTTCTTGAAGATAGCAAACAGAGTTTAAAAGATTTGCTACTTCAGAGCAGACACAGGGACCTTCAAAACAACAAATTCTGTCTGATACTGGAGAACAGACTGCTTCAGTACTTTGTTGACATTGCTCAAGGTATGGAATACTTGCATAGTAAGAAAATTCTACACAAACGCCTCAGTTGTCGTAACGTCGCGCTAAGTGAAAATGGTGTCGCGAAAGTTTCCGGGTTTGGTTTATCTCACATGAGACCACTGCACGAGACACCAGATTACACGCGCTGGACATCTCACGAGATGTTGCGACTGACTAGGTTTAACCCTAAGGCAGATGTTTGGTCGTTTGGTATCCTCATGTGGGAAGCACTCACGATAGGAGCAACTCCATATTTCCATAGTGCTAATAAAGACGTAGCAGCCCGAATTCTTCGAGGCATGCGGCCATCGCAGCCGTCGTACGTAGGTGACGACCTGTTCCAGCTTTGCCTGCAGTGCTGGCAGGTGGATCCTGACGAGAGGCCCACATTCTCTGGCTTAGTGCACGAATTAAAGCCATTTGCCGAAGCTCCTGGTTGCAGGAGTCTGAGTTTTACTCATTATAATGGTTTCAATTACGAACCACATGTAGCGCAGTACGAAATTGTTTCATAGTATTTTAAGGATCAGGCAACTAACCAAAACATAGGTTTATTAGCTTCCAAAGAGTTATGTTTGATACTCGAGTGTAATACGAGGTCGGGAAACCAGCAGCAATGGAATAAATTAAACAAGGTTTATTGTAATATGAAGGACAAGGAATTGATATTTTCAAAACTAGATTTTTGTTTTGTAATTAACATGTGTATTGTTTGTTCGTCATTCAAGATAACTAGAAGCTAGCGGTTGTAGTCACGCGGAACAAATGATCACGCGCTGTTGACCGCTTGCGGCACCAATACCAACCACGGTGAATTGCTGATTTTACACAGACAAAGCTCCACTAAAAGACATTTAGACTAATTGAACGTAATAACGCAGTAGTCATGTTATATTTAAACCATAGTGACTGCATTTTTAAAAATGTTATTTTTTAAATAGGAAAATATAGATTTAACTAATTATCTTTGTAATGCAGTAAGTATAATATTAAAATACTGGAACACTATTTTACCAGTTAGTGCTTATACTAACCAAATTATAACCACAAAAGTACCTAGAATTAGTGCGCACGTTGAAGTTAACCCTTCACGAAGGTGACAGTCCCGCAACATGTTACCTTTCTCAATAAATGTAGATTTTACATTGTAGTTGTAAGTTAAATAGCATTTACAGGAATTTCAAGAGTAATTTCAGATGAGTACATTTGAGAACTGTTGAAGTACTCAACTGGTTAGATTTTGTATTAAATAAATATGTATCCAACATCCAACTGAATATCCTAGTTATATATTTTATGTTTGTTTTAAATGAATAAGTTGGAATATGAAGACATACCCTCACTTGAAAATAATCGTACTTATGTTGCTAGGTAGCTTAGTAAAGTTTTACGTATCGAAACTACAAATATTAATCCATTTTATGAATATTAAATGGCTTGGCATGACTGCTTGTAAAAATCAAGGCGAATTATCCGATTAATGAAATCATAATTCGCGCGATTTTATAGTTTTTAATTTGACTTGTATCAATGGTCCTTCAAGCTTTATTTTCAGTATTTCAAATGTTTTGTATCTTTGTAAGTTTACAGTAAAATACTTGATAATGTTCTACATCTACATAAACGATAGGGATAATTTTAAACATAAATCTTCATTAAGATAGTATGTTCACTGTGTGTACTTAGTTTATAAGTTCAAATTAAAATCATTGGAGGATAATCTCACGTTCTATACTGAATTTGTTATGATCTAGGTACTCAATTTCTTACTTTTTTCATTATGTGACTATGATAACTGTTTTCTATTTACCTATATATTGGGGTCAAATTATCTCGGGCAAAGGCTTCTATAATTATTATAAAATTTGTATGATGGTATTGATGTATTGTATTGTCTATTTAATTATTTCTCCTATAATTTATTTAAACTGTCAAACACCAAGCGGTCACCGGTGACCGCGACCTATTGTTCTTTAATTGTGTCTATAAAACCGGTACTCGACGAGTTAATTTGACTTTTTATTATCTACTTAGTTACATTTAGTTTTGTAAGATTTTATTTAATATTCAGTGATCTGAAATAAGGAATTCCGTCCATTTATTCGTATTTTTGTACGAAATCTCAATTTTGTGTAAATTTTGTATTATGTAACCAGTATTTTTTTTTTATAATAAAACGATATGTAATAATCATTTTAGTTTAATTTTTACTGAACTGCTGTTAAAACAAGTACTTACTATTCCTCGCTGCCCCTCGGAGAGGTACCTACTTATTTTAATTCAAGAAGGCATGTGTTTACAACACTATGGAATCATAAAAAAACGTCATGACGACATCGCACGATTTGTATCATTCACTGCGGCAACATGCATGATATATTTTTCAGAGGAACTCTCGTCCTTGCAGGCGGTCTCCGATGGGTGACCGTCTCGAGCTTCTCGGCGTAACTCTGACGCCCACTCTCAATTTTGGCTCGTAAGTATATTGAGACAAAGGCGCAACTGGCTGGTAGACAGTTGGGTGTCCTGTCGAGGGTGAGACGGTACTTCGCGCGGGAGCAGTTGCTCACTCTTTACCAAACACAAGTTAGGTTGTGTATGGAGTACTGCTCCCATCCTTGGGATGGCTCGGCGAAATACCAGTTAGAAGCCCTCGAATCCATCGAGAGGCGTGCCAAGAGATCAATGACGATTCGCTTATGGATCCGATTCGATTCGCTCGGCTACGAACACAGGCGCAAAGTCGCAAGCCTTTCAGTCTTCTATCGGATACATTTCGGTGAGAGTGCGTGGGAATTGCACAAACTTATTCCCCCTAGTCCATTTCACCACCGTACCACCAGGCGAACGGCGGGGTGCCACCCTTATTTGGTGGGCATTCCACCCATTCGCACGAAGCGTTTCGCGTCAAGCTTCCTCATGCAAACCTCTAAGGAATGGAATTCCTTGCCAGAGGCTGTTTCCCATCAAATATGACTTGGGTGTCTTCAAGTCCCGAGTGAACAGGTTGCTCATAGGTAGGCGTGCTCCATCGTCGGCCCCATCATCGCTTACCATCAGGCGAGACGGTGGTCAAGTATACCAAGTACCAAGGTAGTTCAAGTTATGTGAGTTGGTTGGACAATCTGGGGAAATTCTCTCAAATACCCCAAATACGAATCTCATAAGAGATGGACATCTCACGGAGATATTTTTCTGGAAATCAGTTGCCAAATAAAGTTACAAATCATTGATTCTGGTTCATTGGTTGAAATAGTAGCAAGTAATTACCTGATATATTTTGTGGAGGTAATTATGAATTGAAACGACATTATTTAATTTTTGCATTTATTAATGTTAATATAATATAGACAATGTTCAAGGTACCTTTCAATTGGTTTCGAGCTTTTAAACACTAAGACATTGTATCCTTCCATTTTACCTCTTATCATTTACAACATTGCAAAATAACACTTCATTAGAAAATCAATCTGACAGTACAACTAACTAAACAATAATAAACATTGACTAAAATATAGTGAATTTTAAATTCAAAACATATTTATTATTCAACATTGTTTTTAAATTCAAACTTAATTAAAAATTATATTCTCGTTACATAACATTGCAGACCCGTTTATCGTAAACCAAGTTAACAAAAAATATTAATAATAAAAAATAAAAATTCCATCACTGAACTGTACAGCAACAAATGTTATCAACGTATGACATTTTACACATAACGTACGGAGCCGGAGCTCGCTCTATACATACTTATAATACGCAACAAGTTATAATTCAATAGAATTAGTATAACATATCAATCTCAACATGTGTAAAGGTTGATGAGACAACGACTGATCGGCGCTCGAGGGGCCGAGAGGCCGAGAGGCCGGTACGTACGCGGCGGGCGGGCGGCCCCGTCCGGCGCGGCCTCGGCTGGCCCGGCTGTGGGCCGGCCTCACCCGGCGCGCGCCAGGCCGGCGCCGCGCCGCCCGCTCACTCCGTACACTCGCAGCAGCGGCCAACTCACGGAAATCTTTAACTTGGGCGTTAACAATAAAACTGACGTGTAACAATGAAAACGTTAAACACCGCGAGTGTACTGCGAGAATCGCACACGACTACGCCCTGGCGGACTAGCCCACATGAAACACAGCGAAATTTTTAATTTAATGATTAATAAACAATTATATATTACAATTAAATCCCTACCGTTTGGGACGCGTTCGTGACGATGTCAATATGCGCGAGTTGATTCCTCAGTCTTTAATAAATTGATGACAATGAGCAAGGAGAGTAACGTAAATGAAAAATGTTATGCAATTATATACAGATAGTGAGTGGAGCGCGCTCTGAGCACTGCCGAGTGCAGCCGAGTATTGCCGAGTACCGCCGAGTACCGCCGAGTACAGTCACGAGCGAGCGCCGAGCGGAGAGCGCGCGAGCGTCGTGTGCGATTCGCGCCCATCAGAAACAAGCGTTATGGTGATGTCTTAATGTTGAGTTCGACTTGAACGCACAGCCATTTTCCTAAACACAGTATCGAACCTTACTCTATCCTAGCGCACCCAACGGCTGCCACCTTCGCGTGTATACCCACTAGACTACCTATAGTAATTACAATAAACCACTCTATCAACAAATTCAACAACATTTAGCTATTAAAATTAAAATGGGAGGATGCGAGGAGACGCGCGGCCAGAGTGTCGCCACGTGCCGGCTCGGAGTGCCGAGAGAGACCTCTGCGTTAGTTCCGTATAATGAAGAATGACAACTAGCTACCTTATCCTACAACATTGAAATTCCTTAATCGTAACAGCATTACACAGTGACGGTGGAGGTGCGGATGGCGCGGCTCGCGGGCCGCCTTCTGCGTGTGCCGAGTACGTGGGTCGGGGCGATGAACGAACATCTACTGGTTATTATCTTGCCACGCGATAAACTATCCGGATAATGATTACCGCACTTAAAATATTTTGTATTCACGTTAATATACTCTCAAATATTGTAACAACTTCAGTATAACAACATTAACATTTTCCCAGTAATTTTAAAATTATCTAATTATATTGATTTTAAACATGTTAATTATAACTAACTAGAGTTCCATTGTTAAATAAGTGTCGGCGCGGCGGTCGTCCCGAGTCGCGATGGCGCAGCGCGTGCAGTCGTCCGACAGACCACGCGGCCGCCGCGCCCACTAACAACACAGTCACTAAGAAAGAGAGAAAGAGAGAGTGAAGAAACAAGACTGAAACTATGTCTACCCCCCAGAGCTCGCCCGAACCGTGAAATGATATTTCATTTTTTTGGAAACCATACATTTCTTTTAATTGACGCATTTGACTTATACGTACCGACTAATCAAGATTTAGTTGCGATTAAAATTGAGCTTGTTAAATCGACGTGACAGGCGATTCGCGTTCTGGCCGCGGCCGACACGACCGTCTGTGTGCTCGCGGTCACTCGCGGTCCCTCGCGGTCACTCGCGGTCCCTCGCGGTCACTCGCGGTCACTCACCCTCCGCCGCGACGTACCGCCGATGTGTCTGCCCATACCGTACGCAATACCCCCCCTCACCCCTCACCCCCTCAGTTCCCCGGTTATAGCCACCGCGAACGCACAGACGTATTAATTAATTGACACAAGACGATATCTGTACCTACCCCCATTATACATAGTTAAGATGAGAAAATTCGAAAACACCGGAAATGTATCCAACAGCTTTACTTATGTATATACTTTAAAGATTGAATATTATATAAATATAAACTAGCTACTGTAATGCCACACTACACTGCGAATGTTAACTACATAACACACGTATATATGTAATAGATCAGTTAACAATATCCACAAGTAATGCCGAGTGGCGGGCGCCTGGCCGAGCTGCCAGTCGCAGGCGCGCTCGCTACGGCGCAGCTTACAACGATACATTACTATTATTTCACTCTCACGGAAGTACGAGGTTATGGCGAATAGAACGTGCTCACTTCCCTAATTATTAATTAGTTAAAATATTTATATTATAATTTTTATTATTATAATCGCGTAATTGTGAATGAATTAGCTGAGAAATTGTCTCTCAATTCCGATTCCTTAAACACTATCATCGTACATTAACTTTCATCATTAAGCCGATTTCAAATTATTATATCATTTATTATGAATACGTTTTCTTTTGTACTTCATACGTTTATTCACATTTGATGTAGTCACCGCCTTCGTGAGTCAACCAGTAGTAGACTATCTGCATTATCATGTTACCGCATTACGCGTTGGCGCCCAACGTGGGCCCGAAGTAGTTAGACAGCAAGTAGTCGTGTGAAACATTGAACATGTCGAGAGGCTCACCTCACTAATCCTGTATCTAGAACGATGGCACTTCTGAGGTAAACAAACACAACTTATAACTACCCTCCGACGAAGTACCGAACGGCTTCTACACTAAGTGGAGACTGACACGTAGTACCTTGACAATGTCGACGAAAACAATCACAGTTTATAATATTATGTAACGCTACATCACACGCAGGCCGCTGCCGGCCGGCCAGCCAGGTCGCGCCGGCCGGCCAGCCAGGTCGCGCCGGCCGGCCAGCCAGGTCGCGCCGGCCGGCCAGCCAGGTCGCGCCGGCCGGCCAGCCAGGTCGCGCCGGCCGGCCAGCCAGGTCGCGCCGGCCGGCCAGCCAGGTCGCGCCGGCCGGCCAGCCAGGGTGCTTACTCTTGAAACCAATCTCAATGTCAATGCAATTTTAATCCAATAAAATCTCAATAATTATTCAATGTCAAAACTATACAACCCTTATCGTAGCTGTTACAATAGCATTCAGAGTACGGAATCTAAAGCCAAACTCAATACCATTTAGTTTATTAAATAACCACGCAATGCGGATGCAATGGGCGCTAGAGTTGCAAATCAAGAGTACGAAATTTCACAATACCAATGTCGATCGATCGGAATTGTATTCAAGAGTAAGCCCCCAGGTCGCGCCGGCCGGCCAGCCAGGTCGCGCCGGCTGCAGGCTGCCGGCAGTGGCCGTCGTGTGGACACTAACAGACACTAAAAGAACGTCTTGGTTAAACGACGGCGCAAAAATAAAATATTCAATCAATATAGTAACTGTAAATAAGAATATATCATTTATATTGTCATCTCGATATATAGAAATCTGCATTTAAAATGTTTAAAATATTTTCTTATTACTTTTCACCTACTAGTCTGGACATGCATTTACTATTATTATTATTATTTAAATTGTACTTATATCGTAAGACAAATTTAGACCGACAACAAATCAATAACTATGAAACATTCCTAATAAAAAAAATATTTAAAAACGATTAGATATTTTCATTTTGTTTTATAAATGTATAAAAAAATAAAGATCTTTACCGAGAGAAATCAGGAATGAACAACTGCTCGCCAAATTAGTACCCAGCCCCGCGCGAGACTCGAGTGTAGACTGGGCACGTGGCGAGTGGCCCTCTACCGGCGACTATTGCAACATGCCCGGCCTGTAGTGTCGGACTGAACAGAGGACGAAGTGAACGATTCAGTCGGAGCACTCGGTAGAGGGTGACCAAGTCGATGCTTGCGGCAGCTTGTCAGTAAATAAAACTTTGGTAGGACTCAGCTCCTAAACTCCCACAGGTTGCGTATGACGCCGGCGACGTCGCCCGCGGGACGTCGCGCGTGCGTACGTTTATTATTCATTAATTAACCACATCACTAATCCTAATAAACTAAAGAAAAATAACTTATCAATGGTAACATTTACAATGAACTCAACTTTGTAAATAAAAAAATGTATGCTGTGGTGAATAATATACAAAAATAATATGTGTATGGAATAGGAATTTCCGTGATAGGAGATATCACAATATTTTCATTATTATATCTTAAACAACAATAACGTCTGCTAGGCAGAACAAAATAATGACTTGTCATCACGATAAGAACGTAAAGTGAGCGGCGGGGCCCCGTACAGTGGCGGCCGGGGCCCCGGCGGGGCGTGCCTACAGCTGCATAAATTATATCCTCCGTCAGATTAAAACAAAACAAAACTTCTTAACTAGAGTCAGGTAACTCGCGCCAATAGTTTAAGGTGACCGAGCGACGCAGACGGTCTGTGATCCAACAGTGTTTGACTAGAACTAGACACTACGCTAGAACGAAATACAAGAAATGTACAGAGTGTAGTCGGTCGGGTGGCGGCGGTTACTGCATGAGGCCGGAGATGGCGTTGTGGCGCGTGCGCTTGAGCTCCTCCTCCTGGATCTTCTGCTCGATGAGGTACTGCGCGTTACTGATGGCCGTGGCGGTGCCCGTGATGGTGACGATGCGGTTGCGGGTGCCGGGCGCGAACGTGCCCTTCTTAGAGATCTGGATGTTGGCGCCCGACATCTGCTGGATCTCCACCAGGCTGCGCCCGCCGGGGCCTGCAACAAGGCAGCGCAAGCTCTCACATGTCGCACAATTTTATGAATCACTCATATAAAAGGGATTTCGATAACATAACGTCTCTTCTTTTCTAAAGTGTTTAAGGGGTTGGGTGAGAGGTTTTATGCCGGTTAAGAGAGTTGTGGATAGTAATGCTTAAATGTGGGGGCTTCGGCACGAATGAGATTTCTAATATGGCTTATAGAGAACAGACGTAAAGCAACGCTTGCGTTGTGTTTCTCAGTGTGAGGGGTTGTCGGAGGCCCCATCCTTAATGTTCCCATCCCCAAATCCCTAAAAGAGCAGCAACACACTCGTAACTGCTCTGGTGTTGGACATCCGTCCACGGATGACGCCGATTGCTTTACATCAGTTGGTTCGTCGGCTCACGACGACACGAATCGCCATATTTCAACAAAATAGTAAAATAAAAAAGTTTGAATATAAAACGTGACTGACCGAGTATAGCCCCGACGATGACCTCTGCAATCTCGACATTCTTGGAGTCCTTGGCTCCCGCGTCGGCGGGCGTGGGACTCTTGGACAGCGGCAGCAGCGAGGCAGAGGGGAAGCCAGCTACGCCGCCCACGCCTCCCACGCCACCCACGCTGCCCACGCCGGCCGACAGCGAGATAGGCGCCACGGCTGGGGGGCGAAGCGCCTCGAATGCAACCTCCGCGAAACGCTCTAAGGAGCCGCCGCGCGCGCCGCCTGCGGACGCGTCATACGTCAGCACCCGCACTGCGCCCTCCCGCGGCCCCGCCCGCCCCGCCCCGCGCCCCCGCCCCCGCCCCGCGCCCCGCGGCACTCACACCTTACATTAGAACGTTTCGCGCTGTTGCGGACAGAGTTACGAGTTACTGGCGCCCGCCGCCCGCACGCACCGCCGCCCGCTCGCCAGTGCTGGCCCCGCAGGTACATCGACATTACAAAACATGCTCTCATATTTCAGCGTGTGTGGCCAAACTAAATTCAGACTCCCCACTAACAATTGCCTATCATTGTCCCTGGTCAAATTTTGATATCTAAGTACTTGAAGAGTAACAAATCAAAAACAACAACATGAATTCAATAGAATTGTTGTCTTTCAGAAATTCATTAACATAAGGCGGCACACTAGTTCGCTTTTATCTAAACATCAAACAATATACATACGCAACATAACATAAAATTTGGTTATGCAATTAACAAAAAAGTACAACAATGGCGTAACAGTAAATAGCATAATTTAGATAAAGTTGACACGCTGAAATATAGTAAACTTTTGGGAGTACAAGTGTATGCTATGCAGGTCTGCAGGTACTGTCATGCATGGGACAGTGCGCACTAGTCTAGCACTAGCGAGTGCGGAACTAAGTGCTGTGCGAGACGACGCCGCGGACCAGATACATGATACCACACAAAAGAACAACTTTACCGATTGTCGCATTTGTTGGTGTCTCATAAAACAACTTAACTTTATTTACATTCTCACAAATAGTCTACAACTACACAAAACTATAATTTGATCAAACTAAAGTATGTGATCGAGAGTAGCAACATATATCTTGTACACACTGCTGGAGTTACAACATACATAGAATATGTTTACAGAACGTATTCCCAAGTTACAACATTGTACTTTAAAGTTGTTCTTTCTATTCTATTGTGTCGTGGACCGGACTTTGGCAAGACTACCGTCTCAACAATGTTAACAGAATGTCTAATATCCAGTGTGTGATACTTTCAGTACATTTACAAAACTAGTTATATTTGAGAGAACAATAAGCGACGCACCTCGTGACGCGAGTTGGGCCAAGTCTTGCGCGGTCCGTCCACGACACAAGCTCATGTTATGTATTGCCGACAGAATGGTATGGTAAAGCGATGGTCAAGAATTTGGAAAAGAACTTTAGAAAGATTAAATAAACAAAAAATAAAACTGTAAGCCAATAGTGTTATTAGAATCAGCAATACAACACGTGATACACCATCAAATTATTCTAAGCATGCAAGTATAACGACATAGTATACAGTCTTTCTTAGTATATAACCGTGTTTCGTTTCAAAAGTCATTATATTTCACGGCCACTGCATTGGACAATATGCCTGACATGTTTTAGTCTTTTTGGTAGCACTTATAGGCCCACATCATTTGCTGTGTGTAATCTGATATCACATCCACACCTGAAAAACGTCTGTGCATTAGACACGTGTGCCCGCTGTCGCTTACTTCGTACTCCGGGTAGCATGCAGCCTTATGATTCATTTTGTTTTGGAACCAGACAACAACGAATAGAAATATATGAAATGTTCTTGTGAGATTTCATTTGAAATAAAACACGGCAGAGTGAGAACGAAAGCATATTTGAAAGTTATTGATTAATTATCACGAGATAGCCAATCAGATACCAAGACAGAATGACAAAGCTTTGTGAAATTTAGAATTTGGAAGCGATGTGTGAGGATATGGTACCACAGCCGGATGCCACTGCCACCGCGCGGGCCGGGCGGGTACCGAACGACAACCATTTTGGAAAAATCACTTTCAATGTTCGTAAACGACTTACGCACAAATATACTGAAATTGCTTCATCCCCCCCTTAGTAAAATACCAACATTCCAATTTCAGTATATTTTTGTAATTACCTTCAAAATAATGTAAAACAATCATTATTTATCCTGTACAGAATTTTTGAAGCAACTTAGATACTTGCCACTGCGTTTCAGAATATTCGTAACAAACCGAAAGAAGGCCAAAAATTCTGTATAGGAAATATTTATTAATAAAACCAGTAATTAAATGTTCTTTATTTTAAAAAAGTTGAGTAAATTATAGAATTTACTGCAAATTACAGAGTGTAATAAAATTGTAATTACTAGCCTTATCAATACAACACTTGTCAATTATATAATATCGTGTCTGTGTGTTGCAGCTAGCTGCTTCAACAGTAAAATCGTTCGTGTAATTAGGGACTATTACTATTCAATGTATTCATTTTACATTTTCTAGTAATAAATTAAGTTGCAATAGGTTTCATTTAATGGTTCCTTCAGTTACTGACGATACTTGTGTATTGATTTAATAATTCAGCTAGTTCCGTCGTGACTGCGGTGCTTTGTACAGGCAACAGTCTTTAATGCGCAAATAATGCGGAAAAAATGCGCAAACTTGCGCAAGATCTTGAATGTTTCGTTTCTTCCGTATTTTTAATTTATTTTATTTTTATGCAATAGTTAAATACTTATGCGGTTTATTTTGAATCATGTTGTGCAAGTAATGGTTAGTCGAAAACATGTCTGGGTACTGCGTGAACAAAGCACAGCGGTCTAGACACTGCGTTCCAAGGCTTATTTGAGCAAATAGTATTATTGTTTTTGGAATGTAAATTACTAATTTTAAAACATTTAAAGTAGAGAGAGACACTGTTAGCAGGCGCTAAAATAAGACTTTGATGACGCAAAATGGTTTAAGTAATATCATATAGAGGGTGAGTGTATGTGTGGTCGAGTGGAGTACGTACCGAGCGGCACTTGGCCGATGGGCCCGAAGACGGTGGGCGGGTCCTGCGCCGGCAGCGGGAAGTAGGCGGCCGACAGCGGCGGCGCCGGCAGCGCGGCCGGCAGCGCCAGCCCCAGGACGCCGTGCTTCACCAGCAGCGCCAGCGCCGCGCCAATCTCCGAGATGCCGGCCTCGCTGTAGCCGGCCTGGCGCAGCGCGGCCTTGATGTGGTCCAGCGTGTGCTGCGTGAGCGGCGCGGGCGGCTGCGAGCCGGGCGGCGCCAGCGACAGAGACAGCGACAGCGCGCCCAGCCCGCCCGCCACGCCGCCCACGCCCGCGCCGTTCACCAGCACGCCGCCCACGCCTCCTCCCACGCCGCTCAGCGCGTGGTTCTGTCACACGAATGAGCTCAGTACGGGTCACGCCGCGCACGCCTCGCACCACTGACACTTTTATCTTACATTGTTTTATAAAAAATCGACTTCAACATTTAGCAAGATATGTAATCTTACATAGGCCAATAAAAATTAGCACACATTGAACATTTACTATTACATTATATATGCGTGCAAGTCTATCAAAACTTATACAACACAGACAAAGATATATAACTCTAAAATCGCAATTATACACAACATTTAAACATTCATGTATTTGTGTCACGTGTAGAAAATTAAAAGAATTCAAAACCCATCACCATAAAGATAGGAATCCCAAATTAAAAAGGTCCATATAAATAGAGAATAGGTAACAACTGAGAGTAGACAGTAGAACCCAGAGCAAGATGTAGGACAGTTAGTATAGTGTACAAGTACTAGTGTACACATAGTGTAAGCGGTTAGTGTCAGTGTCTCCGTCCGCTCCACGCGCCAGCCCACCACTCGCGTCAATAAATGTAAAATATATCATTATTCGGTAAATATCTATTAAATATGGAATTATATTTTACCACCACTAAACTGCGACACGATGCGAAACATGTGTACGTACGTAGTCGGACATTTATAAATTTAATTGCTAATTAAAAGTTATTTTCAAAATTAATATTTGTTTCAGAATCGGTTATTAATGAACTGTTTTGACATTTCAAACCTTTGACATATCAACGGACAAAGGCTTCGACTGTTAGTATCGAGTCACATAGTTTAGCAACATGGAGTCAGCGACACGCGCGAGTAGTGCGCGGCCGAGTGCGGCGGGCGTGCAGGTCGCCGCAGCCACCACTAGCACACGCTCGTGTCACCGGGGGCGCCGCCGCCTGCACGCGCCCCACTCGTATTGTCGGAGTCAAGTGGGGCGCGTGTCGGGGCGTACGTGGGCCCCGCAAGCCAGGGTCTGTCACGACATAGGAGCGTGTACGAGAGGTCACCTCTTTCACCTCAGCGGTGGGCACGGCGTAGGGCGAGCCGGTGGGGTTGTAGTTGGCCACGGGCCCCGCCACGTCCGCGTACGACACGTTGGGGCAGGACCCGGACTGCGGGTCGTCCACGACCTTCTGCAGGATCATCACGCAGGCCTTCTTGTTGTTCTCTTTCTCACCTGAAAAAAAGAAAAATTTTTAATTAGTCAAGTACATGTTTCATATATGTATTTGACTATTTTATTTTTTTAAATTAAGTATTCAATAGCCTAGATGTTACGGTCTTAACATTTCTTTGTGCGACATCATATGAACTCAATGTTGAATTAATCAAAATTTTGATCAGGTCTCCACGCTGCGAGTATATACCATAAATAAACTATTATAATTGTATATATTACAATGTACAATATACTATGTACAGTAGCGGTGGCAGTGGGCCAGCAACGTGCCGCCAGTTGTGCACCATTTCACGCATTGTTCCTGCGAATGCTACTGTTAGCACTATTAGCACTGTTCACACAGGTACCGATAGCCAACTAGTATCCATTGCGCTTGCGCTCGTAAACATCTCTAATTGCATTATAAATTCACTGCTCTGATTTACTTCACAACGAGCTGCTCTTCGGGTGCACTTGTCATATACATTTTAAAGTTGATTTACGATTAACAATATGTTTTATGTCGTCCAATTTAAATTTGTGTGTCCCGTGTTTGCAGCGCTCGCCCTAATCAGGGCCCTAGTAACTAACTTAACGAAAATGGGAACTATTAAGTTATTTACGCATGTTTTGTATGCGAGGTTGCTATTTATAACTGCAAAATCAAATAAGAAGTACACATTAACTTTGTTGCCACCTGATGCAATACCGTAATAGGCAGGTAGTGTATCTAATCGAATAGTATTTCTTTATACAGCAGCCGTAACATAATGTAATAAAATAATGTTACTTTCAGCTTGTTTTTATTTCAATGTGTAGTGTGTATAGCAAATTCATTATTTGACAGCTAATAAATCTATATTTACAAAGAGCATTAGTTTGACAGACATTAAATTTTCAAAATATGTCCTCATCCTTGCAATTGCTAAATAATACTAATCTACTCGCAACAAACACTATAATGAGTCACAAAATGACATAACGTCGTGCGATGATCGCCTCCTTTATTGCTCAAAGTAAAACTTCAGACGAAACATAGTTTATTGTTGTATGTTTAGTTTCAACCTTGCACAAACATCGGAATATGTCATTAGTCATTGTCACCACGCGACGTGATTTGACCTTTGCTGCTGACTCTAGCGCGGCACTAGTCAAGCGAATATTTATTTTTAAGTAGCGGTACATACGTAACTATGCATTATAATAAAATAATATATTGTTATTTATATGCTGCCTTGTAGTCTGGAGGCTGTGAGGCAAGAGGTTAGAAGCTTTGGAGGCAGCCGTAGATAAATTACCTATATAATTTTTCAAGTAAATATCCCACAAAATATTACAAAATATCAGACTAATAGTTAAGGGTAAAGGTTTTATGAAAAATAGTAAACTGCTATGGAAAACTAACATCTTTGCCGACAAACTTGGGACACATTTTTTTTATCCGTGTTTGCATTTCATGTTATCGGATAGTGTCCCGCGGCGGGTTACGGGCGGGCGAGGTAAACGCGACGCGGTTACCTATCCGGCACAATTTCCCGCCGCATCCGTAACCACCGCGATATGGATGCCGCAAATCCAATATCAGATAATCTGGCTTTCAGCTAGTCAGCTGAATTTAAAATATCACCTACATATATACGAATATATTTTTATCGGTGGGTAGTTTTAAAGAGCTTGTATTTTTAGAACAATAGGGTATATGTTATGATAAGCGCTAGGATAAGTTGCGTCTGTGTTATCGTTATATTATTATTCATGTAGCCTTGGAGCAGAGTATATCGAAAACATCGATATACCTCATTTGTCGTGGAAGAAATAATACAATTTTCCGACATAGACGTATTCGATTTTGGTTTATAATGAGGTGCTTGTAATACACAAGGTCCGGCCGTTCCGTACGCAGAGACGATTATGTTTGTAACAAAAAGTATACAGTTCGACTACTACAATTAGGGCCTCAACGTGACCTCGCCTGAAGGGCAGTGGTAAAAAACTATCAGATTTCCATGTCCTTTATGTGTTCTTATTGTGATTCAAACAACTACATTATACAAACAGTTTCTACGAACCGACAGAATGTTCTCCAAAATACAAAAGTTCAAAGAGACCATCTGATTACCAACAAAAGAGTTATATTTGCTCAAAAACTTTTTGCAATATGTCAAGTGTCATATAGCAAAATACATGAAAGTTTTATAAAAAGTAAAAACCGATGATCTGTAAAGTCTATCGGTGATTGTGTAAGGCGATACCCTCAATCCTCTCACTCGCAGACGTTCGGCAGACAATTACAACACATGTCTGGGTGTCATGTCAGTACCAACTTTTTATGACATTAATATTTGCAAGAGAAAAAAAATATTCTTACCGGATCCTAGGCAAAGTTATTTAAATTAGAATTAAATTAATTAAGGTCCTATCTCTAAATCCAATTTGTTCGTTCTATGGAGAAATCCATGTGTTTCCAGGAACTTTTGTAATATTTAGAGAAGGGAAGGGCCACGTAGTTGCTCTAAGAGAAAATAACAGTGGTTCCATTAGAAATATAAACGTGACTACGTTGAACGAAGACATTACGTGCTCCGCTTGGGACATATTTCAGCGAAAGCTTAAACATGCCCAGCAAAAATGTTGAACAAATTGACATTCATAAGCAAATACTCCATCCTGGACCAGAACACACGTCTTGTAGTCTTTCAAGACAAATGAATCAGTTGATAACTTTACACAAACATTTATTATTAGGTATTTGTTTCGCTAAAATTCTACCAAGTCTCGTACATTCAATTTTCAAAGTTTTTATAGCTACAGCGAATGCTTGTCCATCACCGGTACAGATTACAGACAGTTTTGATACAGCTATTGTTAAAACGCTTGTTTAAATACTGTAGGAGAAAGGACGTTACTTTGTAGCTTAAGCCTTTGTAAACTTTTACTTGGTGCTAGGAAACGAGGAAATAAATAATAAAAATAAATAACTTCTATTTATGATGATGACAGAATGACACATTTCATAAGTATGAAATTTAAAAATATTTAATTGTCATTTATACAGCCAACAAAAGGTAATTAATTGGTCAATTATAACTAGGTACTGTTTATCAGCCGACAACTAGCAGTAAAACTTGTATTAATTATTGTCATAACCGGTCTGGCAACTAAAGCGTCCTGGCATGTTTATTGTTTTATTAAATTACACTATAAATACACTTGCTAACTCCCTATGTATACGGTAAAATCTTAAGCGTAGAGGTGTTAGTCTACGGACGCCGAAGGTTTAAAACTTGTCAGTGAATAATAAAGATAGGATAATTCGGTGAATTGCAAATGAACACTTCAGGGGGGCTGCTTATCTAATGAGGCTCGCCGTCATCCCAGATATCCAGGCCGCACTCCATTAATATTTAATTAATCGAGCACATATTTTCACCTGCCTACAGTTCCCACTTCATTACAATAATTACAGGAGCCCCTTGGTGACGTTAATTTTAATATCGCCCGCCTGTCGAGAACCCAAAGTAAATAGAGAAGACTGTGAAATTTAGAGTTTATACAAAAAGGCCATCACAGAGATATGATTACGGAAATGTTCATCAGCAGTGTGTGCACAGTGATGTGATGGCGATGCAGGCGCAGCGACCAGCCAGTGTACCGGGTACCGGGTACTCACCCACAACGGTGATGCATCTCTCTTGCAGCGACAGCTCCTTAGCTTTTTGCGAGATCTGCACGTAGCTGCCACTCTGTTCCTTGATCTGCTTGATGTAGTTGCCGCCTTTGCCGATGATCATGCCAGCTGTTGAGTTAGGCACCAGGATCTTCACCTGGAATGAAGACGTGATCGTGGTAATGGAAATGTTAAGAGGCGAGTGAGGACTGCACGTGACATGTTATGAAGATCTGATGCTGAACGAGTAGACCGCGCCCAACGATACAAGCGTACTGCGTCACTTTATGTACAGACACAAGAACAGTGACATGAACTTAAAGTGAATGTAAACATTTGTGGTATTTAGTTTCCATCGCAATTATCTCAAAGCACTTCGTTGCTAATCTAACGTTTTTCTGAGAGAAATCATTAATCAAGGTACTTTCCCACGACGGACGACCTAAACGAGGTAAAATAAAACCAAAGCTATACGGGTTAGCGTTTAAATTCCATTTTACGTAGGCTTTAAAACTGAGCAAGCCAGCTTTTATGTTCTTAAATGGAGGGTACGGCAGAACAAAGGGTGAATAAAACCTAAATACACTGTAAACTTGATTTTATGTTAAATGGAATTTGCGTAAACAGACAATATTGCCGAGGAATTATAATTGTGAAGGATCCGCCGCGCGCCACGCGCCGTTACCACGGGAACAGACATTAGCATTGTTGAATATGATATTACGACATTCTCGATTGTTGTTTATGAATTATTTAACAGTTCTGAATGTCATGTTTGCTATAGATGGCATCTCTTCGTTTTGTTCTACTTAATTAAGATTCTCTATATGAAAGGTACAAATGGTCTTTTATATTCATCATGACTGGTGGTTGGCATCCTCGCATCTGACAGTGTAGGCAAAGGAATATAGTGCCTACTCTCACTGGACACCCAGCATTTTACGGCTGGTAGGTCACGCGTTTAAATGAGAATCACTTGAGAAGAAAGAAAAGCTTATAAAGTGAGACCTAGGGCCTTAGACCTAGAGAAAACCTATAGCCTCGAGTTTACCAGTCGTACAAGTAACTACTCAGCTAGTGAGGTTACAGTAATAAAGTAGAGTTCTTATATTTCAAATAAATTGGTCCGCCCTAACAGGAAAAGCCCCAAAATTAGGTTCACGAAATGCGTCGATTTAGCTTTTTATCAAAATTTCTGTTTGCGTAACAATAATTTAAGAGCTCAAAAATATGAAAGAGAACGAGTACTTTCTATGTTTTCTATTAACCGCAATATGAATTATTACCACATATAAATATATTAGTAGTTAGAACAGTAACATACAAAGACAATGATTCCTCTGTAGTTGTCCTCTGCGTGTCAGCAGCAGGAGCTAATTAATTGCGAGTACTGCGACATGTCAACTACTACATTGTTACACAACAGCCGGAGACGAAACAAACCTAACACTCTCCAATGACATAATCTATATTATCTTAGTAATGAAATGTCAGTCAAATTATTTCTTGCCAATTATAAGTTGTTTCAAAGTATTATACCCGAAAAAAGACAGGCGTTACGTAATATTTGAGTGTCCATTTTTGCGCAGTTGCCAGTAGGCGAGGGCAATTACAGTAAAATGAAGCTCTGCAGTGGGCACAGTTGATAACTATCGTAAGGTCCCTCCCACAGCGTGATGTAACGACCGCAGAGTAGTCCCGCAGCGCAGAGCCAAAAATCCGATAACTTTAACTACACTGCAGATGCAGGCACGCACTAGTACTTGTAGGGGTCTCAAGCGAGGCATAACGAGGATCCCAGTATCTCCATTTTTCGCGACCCACGATATTGATCTATGACCCTGCACGTCACCGCACGTGGTCGGTTATACTCGGCAGTGCTCAGCCGATATCGAGCACTGTTCCGCCAACGCTAATCAGCCGAGAAGATAACAGTTTAGAAATAAACGTTATTGCCACCATTACATAACCCGTGAAGTAAACGGTCACAGCTCTGGTCCTACGTTCTGATACCTGCAAGGAAGTTACTTCATTGGAATGTAACTGTTTATTCCTTAGAACACATGTTGGTAAATCCATGATAACTGATAAAATAGTAAACCTAAAATTTACTGTCCCCGAGCAGAATATTGTAAAATTGACCTAAAAGATAGGTCGCACAACAGAAACTAAAGAAAAAATAATAGTTATGGATCTAACTTTAAATCTCAAAGACTCCTAAACATGTGACCGCAACTGCATGCATAGGTATTTGGGATTATAATGAACCTGCGTTAATACCGCCGAGATCATATCATCAAGAGCTGACACAACATTAGATGCAGAGCATGACACAGCCGAGTTTATCGCGGCAGTGCACACTAATGAATTACGTACGCCGATAGCACCGGAACGTGATTCGAGTTTGACCTTGCAACGACCACTTAGCTCTTACTACCTCATATGGGTATGTAAACACTTATTCTACCTTATTCCCAGGAACTTTTTGCACTCTAAAAGGTACCTTGATTACTTTCCTTTGAGTCGCAATTAAAACCAAGTAACAAGAGCATGTAATTAATGACGAAAAGCCACATAAATCATTGTTCGATAGGATCAGAGCTGCATTGCGCTACATAGGTACAGTCCATTTGTACTTGTCCTCTACAAGCCCCTGGTTTATGTTTTTATTTCTCCCGGCAAGTGGAACGGAAACTCATGCATAGTATAAATATGTATTCTGTGGTTTCACGACCGCACACAGCTGACTTCATAATTCAAACTTAATTTTGTGACGTGCGTTCCTGTTGTAGACAAGTGACAGCACTTTAATATGTTTCATTATCATTTTAGTGAAGATTTCCATTAATTTTGTAGCTGTTTATTGTGTTGGCAAATATAATGGCAACGTGTACGTAGTTGTTCCAAACTCCATTGACATAATTATTATTTGGCATTATCATTGCCATATCTCTGTACGCCCACAATGTATCGACGAACATTTTAGGGACGCCAATGTGTTATAGAACCAGTATGTAACTTATTTAGATATGTAGGTCTGCTTTATTCAACTGATACTCGACTGATAGATAAATGTAGATAACACGGAGCGCTCTATTTACATTATAATTAAATACTTAACCGAAAGTAGGGAGAGGTCTCCGAAGAATTAATTTAAGCAAATTATTCAGTTTGCTCCCTTCGAAAGACTTGATTACTTTATGTTCTCAAATAAATAATTTAGTAGAGCTTTCTCGGTAAATAAAGAAATTATACATCCCACGCACATTCTGCTGTGATGATGTTTTGCATAGTATTTGAATGTTTAATGCGTGAAATGTACAAAAACTGACCTTTAAATGTCTTTTTCTTTATTTATTTCGACTTGCGACGATTACGAAAATGACCAACAGTCGTAATAAGTGTAGCGAGAAGTGGCACATAATGCGCACAACTGCTGTACAATGGTAGTAATCAATGTAATCATACATCACCAGTGATTGATGACGAACAACACTCCAACAGTTGCCACGCGATGTTCCCAACCACCCCACTGACCTCCACACGCCCTCCGTCTCTAACTTCGCAGGTATTTCAAAGATAACACTGAATAATAGAATAAGTTAGTGTTAAAAGTTCCGCTCTCAAAGGTCACAGGTTCAAACAATCGCCATCCTTTGACAGTTTCGTGTTCAACGTTTCATCGATATATCACCAATTTCTTCGGAAATACATTTTTAATGTGTTTATTTAGTAACACCGCAGTGTGGAGATGACACACTACACCTTTATTATATTATAGGTACAATAATTTATTGTCCTACATTTGGTATAGCGCGTGCGCGTAAGAAATAACGACAATCATTTTAGTCGCAGTCGCAAAATAGTAGGTCCATCAGGTACCTATCGAATTCTGAAAATATTCGTCTAAATGCGGAGATGAATGAGTTGGAAGGCCGATAATGTTTACTTTACGGATAGCAACCGATATTTCAGAGCAAGGTGAGATCGTATGAATTATGTTCCTACTGACCAACCACATCATAATGGACAAAAGGTTCACTGGAGGAATATTCTCGAGTCGGTGCAACAATTACTGACACGGACAAAGCTTTAGAGCTCCGAGTGTAGTCCCTGTTCAATTGTCGGGCATCTCCGTCACCAGACAATTTGAGCGTCTGACGCAGCTGCCGACCTGTACACGTGACCATTCAAATTCATTACCATGGAAATTGTCGCTTCAGATATTTATTTTACGATGAAAGCTTTCAAGTACAATATTTTCCTGTCCTGTTTTACACGAACTCAGTAATGAATTCCATTACGTCCAAATGTACAGAAATTTCAAGATAGGCATCATCAAATTCTTCTGATGGCGACCAGCAGAGTGGCCCACCTCAATAAATAAAAATACATTTGTCTATGAATACAAAGTTGCCCTTAACAGCGGTCGGCCATTTGCATGTAAATTGTCTGATATGGAGGCCTAACGGTTTTTGCTTACAATCACAATTTGATTTTCATTTGGCTAACCTGCTGTGAACACAGGATGTTTTCTCATCAAATTACTGCGCGTAATCACTTTCCGTTCGCTCCGTCATCGACAATCGCTAAATGGAATAGAAACAGTAACGGTTATGTGTTCCCTGATTATAACTATACAGAATCTGTTTAGCGTTGCTGTGTACCAGTTTCTGGGGAAAGGAACAGTTTTTCCTTATGATATATTACCATCTCCGTCCCACAGTATCTATCTCCGCTGCCGTTTTCTATCGATACCGATACAAGTCAACGAAATTATGATATGGGAATGAGCGCGTACCCGAAAGGTTTTTCCCTTTCGTTATAACCTCATCAATGTTACCCTTCCATAACATAAAATGACACTTTCCTTCTTTCCCCGCAACATATCTTTTATCAATTACATTACAAATCGAAATGTCAGAGATACATTAGCTCCAGGAAGTTGTTGCTGACAAGATGATGATCAAATTACAATTTGTCTTTACGTTCGTTTACATTTTAAAGTATATTGTGTTGCTAATTTTAATACCGACAGGTTTTTTAAAGACTTATATTTATAACTCTTGAAGATATTTGATATCACACATCAATTTCTTTACTGTCATTCGAAAGCATAAAATATCCTTACAAATGAATTCAATTAAACGTCTCATTGTTACTAGGCTGAGATCTTGGCCTGCCTGTCTCCGATTCACAGCTCGGCGAGTATGAGATACCGGGTCGCGCGCCGATCAGAGCGCCACTACCGACGCCGGTAATGCGGTCACGACACTTCACCCATTCAGCATTACTTCCGAAGCTACCAGCAATACTGAGGAACAATTGCATTATAGCTGTACCGTCATCATTGAGCAACGCTATGCTGGCTACGTCGATAGATAAAGTCCGCTGAACTCAGTTTATGTGGGACATACATTTTACAATAATCGCGTGTCCCTCTAAAACAAAATAATTTATCTATAAATTAATGAAATCAATCACAGTCCATGTGTAGGTGTGTGATAACCTGATAACACGTACAATTACATACTCCAGATATCTACTTTTTGTATGGAATACGAAGTGTATTAAAAATACTGACGTAACAAATAATATTTTACGTGACTGTGGCGTGTAAGGGAAATGGTACACGTACAGTTATATTGATGCAAATGGTCTCTGTATTTCCATGAGAGAAGGTTAATATTTAGCATAAAACAATTAATAGAAAACAATGTACGTCGGCGGTACAATTATGATTTATTGATCAGTTGATCAGCACGCGGGGCACGTGTTGCGACTTGCGAGCTCCCGAACACGTGGCTCGCCCTCGCCGCGCCGCTAATTTAATATGCCAGCGTTGATACCGTTTAAATCGTTCACGCCATCGCGAGGAACAACGTGAAGAAAATTTCTTTAATGTTTAATAGCCGTATATTATAAGTTAATCGATATCGTGTTCTTGATATGTTATTTTTATATGTATATTGTATAACGATATAAATTATAGCATTATTTTTCAAACGCTTTCGTAAAAACCGTCTTACATGTTCCCTGAACAAGTTATCAGACTCTTTGATAGGAGGAAAGAAAGAAAGAAAGAAAGAAAAGGAGGGCACTTAAAACACTATATTTAATACAAAATTCCGTTAGACAATACTTTAATAATTCATTAAAGAGGCGCTGAAAAGGTTCCTCTTAACTAATAGTTACGTTAATTACTTAAAATTTAAAGCCTGGTTTGCCGACAGACGGGGCGGACGGCCGCTCGTGGCCTGTAAGTTGAGCACCGCCGGCTTAAAATGTTCAGAGGGACTTTGCCTGTAATTATTTTACTAAAGCAAAATTTGTTTTAACTGAAATAATGTTGCTGTAACAACTTTTCCTGTACTGAGTACGATGAAATAAGATTTTTTTTTTGCTATTTATTGTGTTATGAATGGCATAATAAAGGAACATGTTCATAGTCGTACAAAGACTTGAACGAGTATTTAATTTGTGGCTCGGTGCTACTACCTAGAGTTCCACTGACATACATAGAGTTCCACTTTACACCCAACAAAGTAACGCGGAGAGGCTGAACAAATAATAATATGTAAATATAATAGTTTTGGCACAGCGCGCACTGAACGATCAACCCGTACCCGGGAGACTGGTGTACATAAGTGCATAATTGTGACATTTGTGTTCTATTGTTCAGCCGCGCTATGCAAGCTCGGTAGTTTATGATTCAGGCCTCTGAAATACAACATGTTTATGACTCTTTACTTTGTACGTAAAATTTTGTGCAATAGGCACCGCACACAAAATTAGGTCGTTAAAATGCGTAGCGAGTCACAAAACAGTTTGAAACGCAATCAACGACATTCTGATTACAATTTGTATGGTTTCCCAAATCCCATACAGTTGATGCTTATGTATTTTATTTTCTCCAAAAAATATGTTTCGCTCTTTTTTTCGAGCCATTCATTTTTCGGAGACGGAGTGCCGTCATCGTGTTCCTCTGACGACGGGACGACAGATTAGACGAGCTGAACATAACACTTATTTAGGGTTCCATTTAAATGGCAGCCATTTGTCTTGGTTTCGTACCGCCGCCGCCCGCTACTGGCGTTGCTTACAATTTATGCGCCACTCCCGTCCCCGTATGCGGACGCCATGACAGGCGTAATGCGATGATTGAACACCAACGATACCCCCCTTTTTTGCTTATTTGCGAAGACAATATTGAACATGTTTTCGAGCCCGACTAAATCGAAAAACAAGATAGATTTTGCTCAATTTTTGCGCAGCAAAAGGATCCACACATTAAACACCCCAAAATAACCCCTCTTTGTTGTAACAATATGTTTTAACCCATTACATTCGGTAATTATTTAGGGCAGTTTTACCGTCAACCTCAACAAATTATCTTAATATCTGTTTTTATAAATCCTTTAACAGACTACTCAATTCATAGTTACAAAGGCGCGATGGCTATAACTTTCACTACCATTTAAAGCATTTCCATATGTGTTGCCTAATACATTGTTCCAATAAAAACGACTTAGTCTCAGTCTACAGATTAGTTTTTCATTGTAACCTTTGTTCAGTATAGAATATGCACGTACCTGCTTGTCTCTATCCTGGGGCATCTTGGTGTCGACACCCTCTGGGAATGGTTTGACGAGCTCAGGCTTCTCCTTGATTTTGTCCATGATGAAGTCCAGGACGACCATGATGCCCTCGACTGAGCCGGTGATCAGGCATGCTCGCTCCGTAGTTCCTGCAGGCAAGAGATAAACATTGTCTTAAGTTTTATTATTAAAGAGCAGTTATTGAATCAGAATGGTCAATCTGTGTATTTATTTATTCCCAGAAAACCCATCTAACAAAATTGTATTGTTCTCGTAAATGGTTCTGTGGACAGGGATAAACAACCGGATATTTTCTGGTCCTTCCGACCGCAAAAGGACCGAATGGGAAGATAAGCGTTAATAAGTGCGCTGCTTTAACGTCGTCATGACTATATTTTCACTTTATTCTTTGAATCACAGGGAATAATATCCTTTAGACTTGGTTCCGTAAGTTTGCAGTCATATTGAAACTAAATATACGTCGAAATGGTACAATTGAAAAACGATATTACTGAACCTACTTAACGAGATTTTTTAAGTCGAAGCATCCATAGAAACTGGCTTACGTAGGCAAACTTATGTTGAAACTTGGAGGCAGCGAATGTGGGTGGTTTGTAAAGATCGTAGTAGTAGGCGGTGCTGTGTGGGTTAATCTACCCCCATGGGACAAAGGCGTGAGTTTATGTATGTGTATGTAAGGTCAGAATGAGAACTATGCGACGTACACATTTCCTAGTAATGTGTGTGTACGTACCAGAACCCAGCCTAGTAGGTAATGATTTATAATTTCCAGTTGAAAGTTTAAGACCAGGTAAAAACATAAATGCATAAACCAGAACATGTTTTAAGTATTATTTCTCAGACGTTTACGAAATTGCGCTTTCCAGAAATAGAGCACTTACCTCAAATTTATTAATAGTCCTAAAAATTAGGGATAGCGATCACTCGTCGGTATCTGGCAGAATATCGAGATTATGGCGTCTGGAGCTATGAGTTATGCGAGCCCATTAAACTGGCACACTTCATTTGCAAACAGGAATCGGGATTCTAAATTAATTGAATGTTTATGTAATTAAATTTTCTGAACACGATTACTAATTAACGATAGAATACTTTCATTTCACTTTAAATAAATCTATTAATTTACTTTATTCATGAGTTGTGAATTTTCCCTGCAGCCGCACAGTAAAAAACTACCATTATTTTAAGGCAACACAGCTACCACCGCCTTTTCTTTGTTCCTAAGTTGAGAAGGGACGCGCCTCAGAGCCAAGTAACCTATTTTCCATTGAGTTTTTCTGAGGCCGTACCGAGAAAATGTGACACAAAGTAACATCATTACCAATTGCCGCAGGGCGCCCCAAATCGCACACTTACACATTCAAATTAGCAAAATATCGCGGAGGTTCAACGTAATCAAGGTTTAGAGGTCGCCTATCAGCGCTGGAGGGTTATGGGGAACGGCACCCGGTGTTTCAGCATTATTGATCGTTTGGCCGGGCGGGCCAGCTTTGTTGCCCAAATGAATAGGCCACCGTCACGCGTTATTTGTGCCAAACTTTCATTGTGATTTTATCTAGATTTTATTTTGCTAAGTTCGATGGAAGATTAATGGTGTTTCTGACTGCGAAGTTTCTCTGGGAATTTATTATAATAAATGCTTTTGATTTCAATACTTTCTCTTTCTATTATTCTTTGTCTGCCCTCCACGGGCGTCCTGAATGGCTGCCAGTGCCACGCGCCGATGTAATCTGGCTTCTTCACAAGAGCACTTTTAATTTCCGTTAGATAAGTCTCGTTTTTTGTTTTCTTAAACAAAGGCACAAATATGAACGATGTGTTTGTGTGTTCGTGACTCGTGACTAATGAATCGTATCAGCTACATGCAATACTGGTTAGGGGTCGCAAACCGGGATACCGAATTTCGAAAATACCGGAATACCGGGCCAAATTTAGGTCTAATTAATACCGGTAGTCATTTCACAAAAACCGGGATATTCGGTATTTTTGGTTTTAGTAAAATAACAGTGAGAAATGGCAGTGAAAAAGCAAATGCTAAATCAGAACAGCACATCAATAGAAACTGCACCTGACTTTGACACTTTAATAAAAATAGAAATGGCTCTTTACGAAAACGGGGGGTCTAGAGGAAAATATTTGAGTATGGCCTTCAACAATTTAATAAGTATTCCACTAATTAACTTAATATTAAATTAGATTAGTAGATTTCATTTGTGTCAGCTTGGAGTTGTCATGCTTACTCAAAGGTCTCATTGGCGGTGGCGCGTGCAGTGGATCGCTCGATTCCCTACAATATGGTTGAGTTGGGCGGTGCTGGTGTACGTGTCATGTTCGTGAACGGGCGCCGTCAACTGGGACTGGTCAGCTCCAGACTGTATTACTGTCCTTAAGGTTATTTTCTTTTTTGATCACTTTGACTGGATTTTAGTGTTACATTGTTCTCGCACAATCCAAACAGCAAAACTATGTAACTAGTAAATTGTATTGTGAACCTGATTGAAAAAGAGTAACCTATGGAGTTTCTTGCTCGTTCTTCTCCATAGGAATCTACGCCTTGGAATGAGCAAATAGCTTCACTTTTTGTTTTTGTTGACGTTCAAAAGTGCCATTCTGGCCTAATTGAAATAAATGATTTTGACTTTGACTTTGACTTTGACCAACTAGTGTAGAGTCGGAGAGAGCTTTCTCTTCATCGGGTTACTTGTGTAATCATTTGCGATCAAGATTGAGTGATAAAAGTTTAGATACTTTACTATTTCTACGATCTCATTACAAGGCTCAACCAAAAATTTAATGGAGATTTAATAATATTTTGATTACCTCTTTATAACTCAATTTGATTTGGACTGAATTTAATTTAAGATTTTTTGTTATTTTGGTAATCAGAATATTATTTCATGATTAGTAAACCATACTAAGAGTTAATTTTATGTTTACAAGTGTATTTTTGGGTTCGTTTTGTTTATGTTGAGACTGTTGTGAGATGTTTAAGTTTGATAAACATTTTATTTTTAGAACTGATTTCTAGTAGGAATCCTACTTCCTAGTCAACTACATTTAATTAAAGTATTTGAACTAGTTACCTCAAGTTATTGTATGTAATAAAGGAATAAACGGAACATTAGTAAATTATTGCTAAGTACTAACTGACTGGGTGATTGCCAACAATAATAAACCTAGTGTCAATGAAAATTTTGTTTTATTTAGAAGATGAATTCATTTAGGTTAGGTACCTACTTACTATTCCTCCGTAAACTAACTTTATTATACTAAATTTGCTAACTTAGGTTAATCCCGGAAATATCGAAAATACCGGGATATCGGTATTGGTCTGGGGCCAATACCGAAAATACCGGTTTTGGTCAAATGATTCGGTATTGCGACCCCTGATACTGGTAACATTACAGTTGCTCGTTTCTCAATAATTCTAGGTGATGAGCTAATTTGTTCCTCCTGCGGTGATGCAACGCTTACGTTACACCTGCCGGCCGAGTGCTCCGTGTTTCTATTACTTCGACTCGTTTAGAATATCAACGACGATGACGTTCCTTGTTGCACTTTAATTTGACTAATTTTGTGTAATTTGCTAACGTTTAGAGAACTACTCCATTATATGTAATTTTCCGTTGCAGCATTGAAAAAATAAACTCGGATGATGCTGAAGTGTTACTGGGGTCGATAGTTGGTATTCTACAGACGACTAACTCTTGACATTTATACAAGGCAGTACAAGTGAATTAGCGACTTGTATTGTTAGCTCAGATATTATTATTAGTACCGAACGTTGCTAGAATTGGTTAATTACCTTGAGAGTGGTTTATATACCTATTTATGTATGTTCCGTTATCGCCAAATTAACATTTATATTTTCCTGTTTCTAACGCCTTGGCTGTGCCGTATGGCATAATGTTCTCGTCTGAAACTAACTAAAACCTCTATGTACTTTGCGTTTCCTTGTACTAAAGACTTGTTAAATAGAAGAGCTAAACTTTCTTGTATTGAACGTGACAGTATTATTGTATAGTTGTTCTGTTCTCTCATCACCTCCTTGAGCTTTGGACTCTACCCATGAAGACTGTTTATTTATTCCGTAGTTAATTGCCCTAAATTGTCTTAATAAATTAATTAATAAACGGCTTATTTTCAAATATGAAATAAGTACAACTTAAGACTTTGTTTGTACGCAATTTACAGGTTTTTCTTGATTGTAACCATTAATCATAATTTTATTGTGTATTAAGTTGGTCCTTACTTTATCCCCTTTAATAATTACAACAACAACTGTACCTAGACAATGACCTAGTACCACTGCCCCGTGTAATACACTATCAAATCGTTCAGATTTCAAATCGATGCAAGTGCAATGTTATCGAGTGGCTTCGTGAAGTAGGTAGTTATACTAACTATTGTAAAACTTGCTCCAAGGCCATCATTGTAAACAAGTTTTTGTTCTCAACACTTCTACGATACACAGTTAGGTACTAATCAACAAATCTTATGCACCGAGTCAAACTAAATCTTTGCATTTGAATTGCCATTCTCAGTTTTAATAGCATCTATTTTATGAGCAATGTCTCACAAAAAGCTATTTATTGATGTACCAACAAATATCAAAGCGCGTGTAGAAACATCTTTGGCGCAGTCGTGGACACAAACTGCGGGAAATTATGCAACGAACAGACAGTATCATACACAACCGGTCTTATTGAGTAACTCCCTTGACCTTGGCAGCACTGCTAGCAAATGCACACTATTCTAAATCTTAACCATAAAACTTTAGAGCTTATTTTTGTTTATGACATGTCATTATCACTTGGTATAAGTCCAATGCTATGATAATTGAGAACAGTGGGCCAAAAAACTGTACCTAATTAGAAATAAGGTTGGCCGTGCGTTGGCACAAATATTAAAAGTATTGAAATGTGTCCGCTTTTGGCACAAACATTTGTTAGGCGTAGCTCTAACAAATTGTAATAACCAGAGATTGCAGCGAGGCATGCGCGCGCGAGGCGTTGTCACACTCGGCCGGGTTGCCGTGGGCCGCGGCACGGTCAGCGCAAGGCTGCCTTCATAAAGAAAGATTATCACTATTATCCAATTATACACGGTACTGAGTTATTGTAGTACT